ATCTGTTTATTTCTCTTGGAGCAGTTATTTTATACACACTGAGCAATTACAACATGTGTGCTATATAAGGACCATGTCCTAAAAGTTTCTTGGACAGACAGTTGGTCTCTTAACAGGAATGAGTGGGTGGGTATGTGTGTACGTGTATCAGAACATGAGCTTATGACTTGGCCAAATTCAGAGGTTAAAAACGTATTGGTTTGTGCCTGTTGCTGTCCAGATTGTGTGTTTCTGTTATGGTTCAACCTTTCAAACGACAGCAATAGAACAGTGGATAGAGTTGTAACTTGGGGAGAGGGGAGAGAGAGAGTGAGTGGGGAACGACATGCAGGGAGGAGCATCAGGTCTGATTCAAACTCAGGCCATCTGCTTTGACGATTAAAACCTCTGTACATGGGCCTTAACCACTCAGAAACCGGCACCCCGGAGGAAGTGGATTGGATTTTCATAAACATAAACATCGCACAAAAAGTAAGGACATTTGTGTTTGATAGATTATTTTGTTGTTGTAACAATGCTTCTTGGCAAAAAATCTTATGCTGTTGGAAAGCCTGTTACTGACACCATCACGCTGAGCAGATCCAAGTTCCAGTGATAGTTAAAAAAATCAGTTTGGCTCTGTATTAATAAAAACTGATTGATAAAATATTCCTCTTTCTTACAGTGATACTGACACCAGCATGCCGTACCAGTGGGCTGAGGATGATGGTGGTCTGCCCTATGGCGTCACTCAACTTGGTCTCTCTCAGCCGGTCAGTGGTAAAAGGTACGTCATGTACCACGGCACCACCAGGCAGGCTGCTCGGTTCATCCAGGCCACAGGTTTTTGTCAGTCTACGGATGGGATGCTCGGCCCTGGAGTCTACCTCAGCAGAGACCTGGATAAAGCCAGCCGCTATCCCATCAGACATCCTGAGTCTGACAAGGTAGTCATTAAGGTCGTGGTCAATGTGGGGAGAGTGATCGCCATCAATCGTCAGGGCCACCCACGCCAGAAAACCTGGCATGATTCCAGATATGGGGAGGTGTTTGACACCGCGTGGGTGCCACCAAATTGTGGAATGGTGAAAAGTGGTTTGGAGGAGGATTGTGTCTGGGATCCCAGTCGAATCAAGATCATCAAAATCATCCAGCCAATCCAGACATCAAACACCCCAACTGAAGGTGGTGGACTGGTTGCGGTGGCTACTGCAGTCTTTGGCGTTGCTGCAATCTTATTGTTTGCAGCTTTAGGTAAAAACTAAATGACATCCCTATGTGTTGTCTTTTCCCTGATCATTCCCTGTCTAGTCATACTGAAGCAGTGTGATGAGTGTTTTTTGTATTTAAAGAGGTTCTCCTCTGAAATATCTGATTCTGCACAAGTGCACTTAACACTAATAAAAATGTTACAGATGCTACACAACAATGAACAAAGAAAGGATGTTTTTTTGCACTTAGTACTTAAGAACATGTTCCTGAATGCACCTGCATTCCCCACAGCACCTTCGAGGTTCTTGTTCTTTTGTTGTGTATTTTCATTTCCACTTTCTACTTAATTATTATTCTAAAATATAATGCTGAATAAAGCAGCTTTTAACTTTTAATTCACAAACAAAAGCAGACTTCTCTTGGCTGCAGATAATAAGCCTGAGGAAAATAAAAAACTAAAACACAGCTGCAGAAAAAAAAGTAAATGCAACAAGAGCACCAGCTTCCTGAGAGATCAGGGCCTCTACTGCCAAGTAAGGAGATAGTAATGTATGATTCAGACTCTGAGGGAGAGATTTCCATTCTTGATGAGGGGGGGGGGGTGAAATTTTCACACTGATCAGGGGTGTGGGATGCGTCCAGCGTTTTGGACAACACCTCCCTCAAAGTGAAGCCAAGCAGATTTAGAGCTCCATCTACTGACCGGCTGCAGTATAGGTCATAAGCTCGGCCTCCTTTGTGTTATCAATTGGGACATGGGGCGAACTTTAAAATGAAAATACAGGTCAAGAAAAGTTTTCTCAAACCCTGTTTCTGTCTGCTAGCTTGTTATTATCATGCTGATTTGGGTTCAAGTCCTCCCTCCTTTTCTGAGAAGTTTCATTTTTAGTTATTATTTGATTCTATAAAATGGAGTATAATGAGTGACAGCTCTGAGAAATATGTCAGTGTCTGTCACAGGAGTCGTTTGGCTTCACTGTTGTAAACTGTAGAAGGTGGTGATGTGTTGTCCCTCTTTGTATACAGTCAATGTTGCACACATGTCTTTATAGAATTTGAATGCTATTTCTGTAATCGCTTATTATACTTTTACTGCTTTAAAATTAAAGTATCACACTGATGTTGTATTCCTGTGTAATTATTAAATTATTGTAAATTATTTAAGTTAAAATATGAGTGCAGAGTGACAATTCTACAATTCACTTAGCAGACGCTTTTATCCAATGTGAGGAACATCAGAGAGTAAGAGCAACACAAGCAAGGAACTAGAGAGGAGGCAACAACGTCAGGAAGTGCAAACGATCAGCTTTAAGTACGATCGGACACACATGTGCTGACAGGAAGTGACCAGAGGCAAAGCACAACATCGACAGCTGTTCTTGAGAGCTCTAATCAGTATAGAAACCATATTAAAACCATCATCATCATCGTCATCATCTTTAAGGTCGTATGTGTTCATAAAGAGCTGTGTCTTTTTCTTTTTCTTAAAGCTGCAGAGGGATTCTGCAGATCGAATGGAGTTTGGAAGTTCGATCAACCACCGGGGGGCGACAGAGGAGAAGAGTCTAGTCAGAGACTTAGGACCCTGTTGTGAAGGTTGGATCAGATGCCTTTCATTGGCAGAGCGTAGTGGGCGGGAGGGAGTGTAGACCTAGAGGAGATAGTTTAGGTAAGGAGGAGACGTTTTTGTCGTCATAGATTCAGACAACATCTTAATCTTCCACTGATAATTCTTTAAGGACTCGAAACGTCTCTACAGATCACTGAATAAAAGTGCCCAAAAATAGAAAATGTCCTACTAACCTGTTATCACTGGCAGCCTGTTGCAACACAGCCAATGTGTTGAACTTCCACCTTTGACTTGAAGGATAATCAATCATTGTAAAACATTGTATGAAAGAGCCCAGCTGTTGAACTTTTTGTGCAGGAATAGATTCAGATTTTAGATATAAATAGATTTTTTCTTCCACCTTTTGTTAACTTCTTACTACGCCCTGATTCTCTGATCACTCTGCAGCCTGTTGCCAAAACAGAAATCAAACTTTCCATGTGTATAAACCCACACCTAAATAAACAGAACTGACTGAACTTGTAACTTATAAAACAGTGCATGAGTGAAACAAAAGTGAAAGTAAGACATGTATGCAGATGTTTTTTCCTACCTGATCCTTTATAAAGCAGACTGAACTCAGAGCGCGCACACTTGGACGGATCTGGAGTGAGGACAGGTATGTGAACACAACTTTACTTTTTCTTTTTTTTAACTATATAAAGTCTTTCTCTTTTATTTTTTACAAAGGAAATATATATAAGTGATTTCCCGTTAACTGTTTGTCCATCAGAGTAAAGCTTCAGCCACACCAGGAATTACTCAGAACATTAGAACACTTTAAAAGTTGACATAAAGTTTCAATAATGGAGAATAACTTTATAATCAGGTCAGGGCTGGAAGACTGCAAATCAATCCATTAGGACAACTCTCTGAATAAAAATGAACAACAGAATAGAGACTGATTATTTTTGGTGTATTATCACAGAAAAACTGTTGCAAGTTTTACAAGTTTTGGGAGAGTTTTGCTAATTAAATAAAGGTCTTCAATCAAAGAATCTTTTATACTGTATAGAATGGAAAGCATTTTGTGATGCCTTGGATCCAGTAAAATAATTCTAATTCTAATTAATATTCTAAATAAAAAGTAATGTAGGTTGTGCACTATGCCAATATGTCACTGCTGCAAGAAGGTGTTTTTTATTTAAAAGTAGAGCTGCCACATGGTCTGCTCTATGTTCTGTACGATCTATATTTATGTATTTTATTTTGTTATTCTCTTGTAACTGCAGGACAAAGTCCAAGAAAATTTTTCCCTCCGGGGACAATAAAGTCTATCTTGATTCCTAAATGATTTAAATTCCTTTGATATTAAGTTTCTTCACATCCCTCTAAAGTTTTAACATTGACAATCCTCTTTCTTACAGTGACAGTAATCCAGACATCATCATGCAGTGGGCTGAAAATGACTTTGAGCTGCCCCCTGGGGTCAGTCAACTCAGTCTCTCTGCGCCATTTAATGGTAAAAAGTACATCATGTACTACGGCACCACCAGTGAGGCTGCTCGGTCCATCATGGCCACAGGTTTTCAGCAGTCTTCAGATGGGATGCTTGGCCCTGGAGTCTACCTCAGCAGAGACCTGGAGAAAGCTAGACGCTATCCCATCGATCATCCTGAGCATGACAGGGTCGTCTTTAAGGTCGTGGTCAATGTGGGCAAAGTGATCGCCATCAATTATCAGGGCCACCCACGCCAGAAAACCTGGCATGATTCCAGATATGGGGAGGTGTATGACACCGCCTGGATGCCACCAAATTGTGGAATGGTGAAAAGTGGTTTGGAGGAGGATTGTGTCTGGGATCCCAGTCGAATCAAGATCATTAATATAATCAAACCAAGTGGCATGCCATCCCCGTACCCAGCCCAACCCTTCGGTGGATGTGATGCACGAGGCTACATGTGAGCTCTAAGAGATGATACCAATTTTATTTGAATGGTCAAATGTATTTTTATATATTTGTATAATGAATCAAGACATTGCATTTTGTATCACTGCCAAATATAACCCTTAAAATAAATTGGTTCCATAAAATCAGGTTTGCTGTTTTGTTCTGTTGAAAGCAAAGTGATGACTGATTTTAGCTGCAAGAGGCGCCAAATAAAAAAGGAACAATCTATTTTAATTTTTACAAAAGATTAAGAATGTTTCATGCAAAGTCCCTCTAAAGTTTTAACATTGACAATCTTCTTTCTTACAGTGACAGTAATCCAGACATCATCATGCAGTGGGCTGAAAATGACTTTGACCTGCCCCCTGGGGTCGTTCGACTCGGTCTCTCTGCGCCAGTTAATGGTAAAAAGTACGTCATGTACCACGGCACCACCAGTGAGGCTGCTCGGTCCATCATGGCCAAAGGTTTTCAGCAGTCTTCAGGTGGGATGCTCGGGCCCGGCGTCTACCTCAGCAGAGACCTGGAGAAAGCTAGACGCTATCCCATCGATCATCCTGAGCATGACAGGGTCGTCATTAAGGTCGTGGTCAATGTGGGCAAAGTGATCGCCATCAATTATCAGGGCCACCCACGCCAGAAAACCTGGCATGATTCCAGATATGGGGAGGTGTTTGACACCGCCTGGGTGCCACCAAATTGTGGAATGGTGCCAAGTGGTTTGGAGGAGGATTGTGTCTGGGATCCCAGTCGAATCAAGATCAATGGTGCCATCAAACCAAGTGCCCCAGCCCAGGGTGGATGGGGTGCACGAGGCTACATGTGAGCTCTAAGAGATGATACCAATTTTATTTGAATGGTCAAATGTATTTTTATATATTTGTATAATGAATCAAGACATTGCATTTTGTATCACTGCCAAATGTAACCCTTAAAATAAATTGGTTCCATAAAATCAGGTTTGCTGTTTTGTTCTATTGAAAGCAGAGTGATGACTGATTTTAGCTGCAAGAGGCGCCAAATAAAAAAGGAACAATCTATTTTAATTTTTACAAAAGATTAAGAATGTTTCATGCAAAGTGCTGTCATTTCATTGCTCTGTCTTTTCATTAATTATAACCTGTCGAGGTTCTCCAGTAAAGATAATATTTGGATGGTTACATGGACCGCAGAACCAGTACGGACCTGTAAAACCTGTTTACACAACTAAGAGCGCACTGCTGTCTTGTATGACCTTCACAGCTTATGATAACATCATACATTCTGTACATTCTTCTAAAAGGTGTATTGGCTAAATGAGTCATGTGATGTAAACAGAGCTTTCTCACACATCTATATCACCCACAGAATCAGGAAACATCAGAAAGTTAGAGTCCAGGGTAATGCCAGTAAAAGTAGCAAAGGGGACTGAAACTTTTGGAGCCATATCGTCCCTTGTTATTGTTTCTTTATTCACATATACAAAAAAAGTGATTTTAATAAAAAATTAAACCAACACAGTTGTCATAAAAACAGAAATAAGCCAAAAAGGCCAATATAATTTTGGTACCAGGCTTCAAACATGTTTATAAGTTGGGCACATTTGAATCATGCTCTATGAAGATTGACTCACTTTTACGGCCAGCCTCAAGTGGCCACTCATGGAACTGCAGCTCCATGCCGTGATTTTGCAACCCTGGATGTTGCAAAATGGATTGCAACCCTTGATGCAGGATACAGTCTCTAACCATAGCTGCATGCTGGCTTAGGAAAAGAAAAAAGTCTCCAACAAGTTAAATTTTAATCATATTAATATATAAGGAGACGATCCAGTGAGTCCATGACGTCTGAAATGAGACGTCTGGAAGAAGACAGTTTAAAAAAAAAAGAGAGAGTGGAAGGAGGAGAAATGGAGTCTATTTTAGGATGTTCACTCAATTAGATCGCTGGCACTTCTCTGCAATATGCATGAAATCAAACTAATCTGCTGGAAAGTGTATTAGTTGGGCGAGTAGATTCACAGAGCTGCTGGAGCGCAATGCGTGTGCGTGTTTTCTGCATGGCTGATGATACATAATGTATACGGTAGAGGTAATCGTTTCCTCCGATCACACAAAGGACGCTTTGTTTGTGTATAAAATTCATTGGAGTCATTCTTTTATTGAATTTCATTGTATCTTCCAACAGTTGGACGGGGCCACATTTACTCTGCTGGATGCACCATTAAGAAACATGCAAAGACCAAACTTTATTCACACAAGAATCAAATACTTCTTTCAAATTATTAAATTACAAGATAGATAGATAGGAATTCATGCAGCAGTTTCATTTAAATAAATAAAAAAACATAAAAGTACTGAGAATTGGGGCAAGACATACAGAGTAAAAACAAAGAGAGGAGGAAGATTATTTCATTGAAGTACTCCTTACATACTCTTCTTTAGGAAAAGGTACAAATTAAATAATAATAAAAAAATTGCAAAGTAAGAGTATTAGCGGTAAGGGTGACAAACAAATCTGAATAAACGCCAACCACATGTTACGATCACTCCCTTTATCTTGTAAATATTGTTATCCTCCTCATCAGACATCAGTCTATATATCGTTTACTTGTGTTGTTAATGTGTAAACTTTTGTGTACCTGTCCAATAAAGATTGATTCCACTGTAGACAGTCATGACTCACAGAGTTATTTTCAGAGGATATACTTCATTTCTATTATATTTAAGAGTGAAAAATCACATATAAAGCCTTTAAGTTAATTCAATCTGCATGTTATTTTCTGATAGGCTAACTATTCGTATTAAGGTGGCCACTAAAACGCAGCCCAGGAGCCGTGCAGACGCTGCTTCAGGCCCTGCACAGACCGGACCCCACGCTGCTTCTCTTCTTCGCTGTTTCAAAAACTGCAGCTACGTCATTCGCTGTGAATGAGAAAATAAATACTTTCTCTAAACTGTTGCCTCGTTATTGGCCACATGAGGGCCTCTGTGTCCTCTCTGCTGCCTTCCAAACCTCTCTCCTCATTTCATGCCTTTGCCAAAATCCCTCCTCCTCCCTCCCTCCTCCCTCCCTCCTCCCTCCTCCTCCTCCTCCTCCTCTCTGCCTGCCAGAAGCTCCTCTCAGGCCGTGTAGGGGAGCATTCACACCCCGCTGTTGGCGTTTAGCGGATGGGGCTCTCAGCCTAAGCCGGAGGGAGGAGGAGGAGGAGGAGGAGAAGGATGAACGGTAACCCGTGTGCCCGCAGGCTGGCCCGGCGATCCAAGTCCGCCCTGCTGGTCGCGGCTCTGGCCGTCCTGCTGGTCCAGACTCTCATCGTGTGGAACTTCAGCAGCTTGGACTCTTCCGGAGGGGACGGAGGCGCCAGGAGCCGGGAGAAGAGAGAGGACCGCGCCGAGGGGTTCAACAAAGCCGACTGGGAGAACCCGCGGAGGGGGCTGCAGAAGAGGGGCAACCCGCCGCCGCTGCTCGGAAAGGCGGCCGTCCGGCACAAGCTGCAGGCGGTATGTGTGAATGATGATCAGCTTCAGTGTCGTGCGGGTCTAATGAGGTTTTTTTGAACACCTGTGTTTCCTCTGCCGTCTGGAGAGTGAGCGTTTGTCTCCGAGGGGGAAGAAGCAGCATGGTCGTCATACGGAGGAAGATGCCATGAGAGGGGCTGCAGCTGCTCGTCTGTTGTTTTGGCATTTGCATCAACACAGTCAGGCGCCTTCGCTCCCTTGTGTGGGAAAATGTGTAGCCTAGGTAGGTAGGCCAAAACATGACGTAAAAAAATCAGCCAATTTAAGGAATCAGTTACTGCCTAATGTACCTGACAAGAAGGAAGCTCCCTTGCCTTCTGGATTGTTGCAGCAAATGTGAATTTGATTGTAATCACAAACAGATTACCAGCAGCATTTAGGCTACACAAATTGTAGAACTTGCAGCTGTATACATTGTGTTTGTTGCACCCCGTTTTCCTAGATATCCTGAAGTGCCACCTACACATCAGCACGAACAGAGTTTGTCGATAAAACACACGCCGATTGTAAGAAGGACTCATATTGTTGTAAAAACATTCATTTAAAAATATCCACTGAATGGCTCTCAGTGGGAAAAATCAACAGAATACTTATAATTCATCTTTTTATTAACGGAGTTTGGTGTGAAATGCCTCCTAATCACTGGAAAACTGCCCTGTTGTCGTTTCTGTGAATGATAAGGGTCAACAATTTTGTCAGGATGTCCTAAATCCTGATATTAAAAACGCCACAACAGTCACAAAATGTATGGAAGCCTAACAGGATCAAAACATAAAATAGTCGGCTGAATGTGTTGATGTTAGATCTTTGATTTAGAGTTTTTTTTAAGTTTTAGATTAAAACCCTACACTTGATGGTATCAGCGGACTTTGCTGCACCTTAAAAACACTCGGAAATGATGAAGACATTTTTATTAAATCCTTCTCTGATATTACTTTGTAGGCAATTTACTCAGGGGGCAAAACGAGCAGCATTTATGTGTATTTCAGCTCAGTTCGTACATTCCTGGACATCCCCCTTTTCTCAGTCTTTCCCCGTCTGTACACACACATCATCAGTGTAATGTGTAATCACTGCACTGTCCCGCATGTCTGATCTAGAGGAGATTCTTCTGTGAAAATAATGCTCTGTGTGTGTGTGTGTTGCTTTACCTGGTGGGATCCAGGTGTTCTCTCATGTTGTCAAGACATGAATGTACTGTATATGCTGCTGTGTGTGTGTGTGTGTGTGTGCATGAGTGTGAGAAAGAGGGAGAGACGAAGTCTGTATTGCAGGCATCCATTTTTACGTCCTTTCATTACAGTTAACCAGATACCCTGTGATCTTCCCCGTGTGTGTGTGTGTGTGTGTGTGTGTGTGTGAGAGAGTGTGAGAGAGCGGTGAAATGTCCTGATAGTTATTGGCTTTTAAAGCAGTAGAGATACACGCCAGCACTTTTTTTTTTTATATAGAAAAGGGAGTCTTGGGAGGTTGAAAGGGGCCAGAAAACGGAGAGAAAATGAAACAAGAGCTGCGTTTAGAAACGAGTGATTTTAAATATCTGTTCACATGTTGAATCAAACTTACTGAGTCAACACTTCACTCCTTTAGTCATCCTTCAATTTGAGTTTTATTCTAACCTTTTTAAAGATTATGTCAGTGACAGCTCTGGGGTTTTCCATGTGCTCCTCTTCCTTTTGTTTTTGTTTACCTCCACTCTCCATCCATTCTTCTTTTTCTTTTATTAGGTGTCAAACAGCTTCAGGATATGTGCTCTTTTTTTCCCCCTTTTTAATCGTGCTTCTTCTACAGTTTGCAACATGCTGTTGTAATCTTCTTTTAGTGCTCTGTCTGCAGAGTTTAAAAGTTTGACCCAGTTGAAGGAAATTTAGCTCTTTGTTTTGACCGGTTTTTGGTCATGAATGTAAAAGTCTGAGACTAATCTTTACAGTTAAATCTTTACAGTTAAATCTTTACAGAGCGGCTTGGTCTGTTGTGTCATCATAAAGATCACAGAAAAGTACATCGTCAGTCTGTAGGGGGGCTGCAAGAGGAGTTGGGAACCGGAGCGTTGCTGTAGTCTGGTAGCTGGAGAGATGCCAGTTCACTTCCTGAGCACTACACCGCGCTGCCCTTGAAAAACGCACCGAAACCCCCTAACTGCTCCGGCACTCTTCCATGTGAAGCCCCTCACTCTGACATCTCTCCATTAGTGCTTGTCCGGCTGATTTGCTTCACTAACAGCAACTATTTGTGTCCACTTGTTCACATTCATTTGCACAAACGTTACACAGACTTCGTGACATACGTCTGAAGAGGAGGAGGTCGCCCTTTTTTTCTTCTTTCCAGTTTTGGAAACTGGTGACAAATGCAGGGTTGTCATGATACCACAAATTTAAAAACATATAATACTAGTAAAAAAAAAAGGGACAATAATGATACCTGTTTGGATACCACGGCAACAAAAACAGAAGTTCTAGCCACCAAATCCTGTGATTTGTTGTTTCCAATGACCAAAAGTTGCAGTCAAACATTTGAAAACTGTCCCAATTGCACAAATAGGCTGTTAAAACATTCGCTACCAAGCAATGCCAGTGGTTTTGTGCGACTTAGACAGTGCTCTCTCTCTCTCTTCTCTCTCTCTCTCTCTCTCTCTCTCTCTCTCTCTCTCTCTCTCTCTCTCTCATGTGGTCTCTGACACTAGCAGTTTGAAAACATGGTATTGAAAAGTATTGACATTTTTGTGACAGCATTCGATAAATGTGTGAGAATGCTCTTTTGTGATTCATATTTTTAAGTTAATTGTTCAAAAAGAAAAAAATATTCACTCTAAATTTGATCAAATCAGATTTGCTGCTAATTGTGTTTCTTATGATAATAGTACACCGAGTATCTTTCTCTCTTTTAGACTCGTACACAAATTAGAGGTTCAGGAATAACTTTATTAACAACAAAAAAAGTCAGAGAAATGGATGATGAAAATGAGCACTTCAGGGTCTGATGGATGCGTGTTGCGTTCAGGTGAATGTCGCTGAAGGTTACATGAACATGTGTGCAGGTGATAAACTGTGTGGAGGAGGTGCGTGTGTTTATTGACAGGAAGAGGCGTCCGCTTTCCAATAAAAGAGGAGACATCATTGGAAGGAGCTCAATAAAACTGTGTGTGTGTGTGTGTGTGTGTGTGTGTGTGTGTGTGTGTGTGTGTGTGTGTGTGTGTGTGTGTGTGTGTGTGTGTGTGTGTGTGTGTGTGTGTGTGTGTGTGTGTGTGTGTGTGTGTGTGTGTGTGTGTGTGTGTGTGTGTGTGTGTGTGTGTGTCTTGGATGGCGCCACAGCTGCACAACTCTCACATTCATCACACCTTTTGAGGGGATAGACACACACACACACTCTCTCGGACACATGTGCGCAAACACACACACCCGCGGTGATGTCACCGTGTGTGTGTGTTAGGCAGAGCTGTTTCACATCCTAACAGCCAGGTCAGATCAGATTAGAGGATTGGTTTGGATCAGGTTTCTCTGATGGGATTTATGCTTTCTAATCTAGTTTAGATTGTCCAATAATCCGTAATACTGTGTGTGTGTGTGTATGTTTGTGTGTGCGCCCATGTTTGTTTCTATCTGTGAGGTTCAATTTAAGACCTTAAAAGTGAGAAAATAGGTTTAAAAAGTGTGCACAGTTTTGGATTAGAAAATGTAGCTGTAATTGTTTCCTTTAGAGTTCAAAGCAGAAAATAAGTCTTTTTGAACTGGACGTAAATACATTATCCGAGAATTATTGTTCTCGTGTCAGTGTTTCATTGTGTTTGAATTTGTTTTATAGTTTAAATTAATGCTGAAAATAGAAACATATTAAGGAATAGAGGAGATGTGTGTAGGGACTCAGCTATGTAGGGTTGTTTACCAAAATGTAACACCTTGATGATGTAACTAAAACCTGGTTTGATACCGATGCAATAAAAAAGTTGTACTCACCCATATTTTGGGTAATTTCTTGTTTCAGTAACAAAAACATTACAGAAAAACTCCTGCACTCTGTCTTCAATGCACGGTACCAAAGACGCTACAGATGGTCTGCAGTTTTTCTTCTCTTATCTCATGAAATCAAAGTCGTTTTTTTAAAGATTCAGTACTGTTATCGATCATTAAAGGAGCAGTATGTAACTCTGACCCCTAGTGGTTATAATGGGTACTGCAGTCCAGATTCTAAACATTGCACAGAGCTGTCCCCCCCCCCCCCTCCTCTCTAGAGTGGATGCTCACTCAGGTCACCATGTGGTGGACTCTGAAGCTTCAGTGTTTATCCAGCTCTGCATGGGTCTGTAAACCTTTCTGTGTTCTAACCTCTCTCCATTTTTCAAAAAGCATCTCCAATATTGATCCTAGTTTGAGCACGTTTCTGCTCGTGGAGCTTATTAGAAACATGCAGAGGCTTTTTAGGTCGGGTACAATCACTTCTATCTGAACCACTTCTCTTGACCCGCTTCCATCGCTTGGGGTCAGTTCAAAGATTTGTTGCCGCTATGTGTCACTTTAATCCCTAAGCCGAGCCAGCACTTTCTCTCTCAGGACATACAGCTGCAAGTGAACACATCGCCATATGCATTCATGAAAGCGCACAGAACCAAACTCCTTCATAATGTTGCTTTATAGCCCATTTAGTCTCACTTCAATCATAGCAGTAGGATTAAGTAAAGTCCTATTTATTCCTAACCCTTGCTACAGCTGTTCCCCCACACACACATTTTGTGTACTCTTAAAGTTGTTTTCAAACATCAAATATCTCCATTCTGTGTGAATAGCAAAGAATAAAACAATAACCAGATATTTCTTAAACTGAAAACTTGTGCTTTGTAGGAGTTCAAGGTACACATTTGTCCAAAAAATCCACAATGCACCGACTCTTCTTTGTTGTACTCGGGTTGTCACGATACCAGAGTTTTAAAATTTGATGATATTGAGACCTGTTTTGATACCACCGCAACAACAACAAAAGAAGCTCTAGGCACAAAATATTGGCTCATTTCCTTTTCTTTTATAATCAAAAATTGCAGACAAACTCCTGCAAACTATTTAACTTGCATAAAAAAAACATTGACACTGATTTACCTTTAGACAGTGCTCACTCTCTTTGTCAGGCACCATCTTTTGGCAAATTATGACTCAAGATATGTCTTTAAAAAAAAAAAGTTTTGTTACTTTTTGATCCTAAATGGTAAATGGACTTGAGCTTGTATCGTTCTTTTCTAGTTTTCTGACTACTCAAAGCTCTTTTACACTGCAGGTCACACCTACACATTCACACCCTGATGGTAGAGGCTGCTGTCATGAAGCTGCAGCATCAAAGTGCGAGGTGTGTCTGATGACTCCCTCTGTACGTCCTGCTGCCATGTTACTCTCTGTTTGCCGATTAGGCACAACACACTGATGTTAAAACCAGAAAGCTGCTTTATGTGTGTGTGTTTTTTTCTTTTCTATTTCCTTTGGGGATAATTCTCACTAAATCTGGTATAGATAGACTTAATCCCTGATGTAATCCCGGCTCGTCCTGTGAGTGCGTGGGCAACCACAACCAGGTTTCACAGCACCAAACCCGGGCCCTTCATAATAGTCCATTTAGCGTACTTTCCCTCCATCTGGCTGCATATCTCTTCAGCCCCCCCCCCCCCCTGTTTCACCACCTCTATTTTCAGCAGAGATAACCTCCTTTCGATTGAGTTCTTTGTTTTTTGGAGCTTTTATTTAATCCTCATGAGCTTCCCAGTTTTTCTCTTCTTTTTTTTTTGGCTGCATCTTTGCACGAAGATAGAGACAGTCGAGATAATGGTTGTCACTTTTTTTAATTATGGCTTTGATGATGATGTGAAGACAAATTCCTCCTCCAAAGTTTAACAAGGAACTGCCTCTTCATTTCAGCATATGCTCTTTTCCTTACGTAGTGATGTGGTGAGTTAAATCTATTTAGATTGTTGTGATAAAGCATCGGTATTTGGCACCCGCGATTCAGTTATTGTTTTGCAATTGAAACAGGGGGATGATATTCTGCCTTCTGTAATTTGACCCACCCCTATTGAGCTGTATTCACGTTAGAACTCACAGTTCTTTTAAGTCGAGATGAAGTGATCAGTTGCAGAAGTCCGGGTCTGGTCTGTTTTCAGCTCCTTATGTGGGAGGATTCAGAGTTTAAATCAGTACCGGGGAGAGGAACTTCCAGAAACTTCTCATGCTACAGATTCCCAGAACCCTCTGTCCAGCGCTTTGGTTGGTTTCATAAACACAGGTCACATCAGGCTGTTTTTTTTCTTAAAAACATCTTAGTGCAAACACTGTAAGGTTTCCACTCAGCAACAGCAATGAATTCCAGGCTGTGAGATCCCACAGGTATACTGAGTACAAACACACACACACACACACACACACACACACACACACACACGCACACACATGCCCAAGTGTTTGATTAATGCATAACTGGGGCCTCTGGATGCTGTAAACAGCCTGGTGAAAGAGCTCTTTATGTGAAGGTGTTTTTAGCACACACACACACACACACACACACACACACACACACACACACACACACACACACACACCGCTTGAACAGTTCATGAAGCACTTAAGAAAGTGACAAACCCTCTTAGTAATTGTCTGCATGCATAAGATGGAAATCACCCTTAAAGGCAGACGTTGACACAGTGTTATCTATCATTAAAGGAGCCGTATATAACTCTGACACCTAGTGTTTAAAATGGGTACTGCAGTCCAAAAATCAAAACATTGATTGAGCCGTCTCTCCCCCCCATTCAATTAAATTCAAACGGCTGCAGACGACAAACCAATTCTACTCTAAATTCTAACCTGATCTTCTTGCCGATATCTGAAAATTTTGGTGCTCATCCTCGTGAACCGCTGCTCAGTTGCCATGGTTTCCTGTACACTAACGCATGGCCAGCTAACGTTTGTAGGCTGAGTATCGCAGATTTACGCAGACACCAAGGCACAAGTATTTACTGCTCGCAATGGCGTTGGCCACTACGGTGTAGATGCAGCACAGAGGTATAATGCAGGCTTTGGCTTTCACACATTTTGGGGTGAGCTGGATGTGTGATTTCTTTTTTTACCCTTAACTTTTCCTGGAATTTTTCTTGCCAGCTGCCTTGTGAGTTACTCTGCAATTCCACCCCTTATCACAATATAAAACTACAATGCCATGATGGGGGACTTCTTCATCCTCATCACCTTTTCCCACCACCATCAGTGTTGTTGTGGCCTTTTAGCAACAGATGTCAGAGCAACAGGTCTTCTTTCTTCCACTTCCCCCCCCCCCCTCTCTCTCTCTCTCTCTGTCTCTCTCTCTCTCTCTCTCTCTCTCCCCTCTTTTAATGTCTCTCGCCCCAGGCGCCTGAGGGTAACGGGCTCTCTTGTTTCTTCTCTGTTCTGCTTTATCATCGAGCAGCAGGAGGTCCGAAGGCAGCGTAGACGACTTCAATAAGAGCCTGCTGAGGAGGAGAGAGCAAAGTGACTCACACAGCAACACTGTGTGTGTGTGTGTGTGTGTGTGTGTGTGTGTGTGTGTGTGTGTGTGTGTGTGTGTGTGTGTGTGTGTGTGTGTGTGTGTGTGTGTGTGTGTGTGTGTGTGTGTGTGTGTGTGTGTGTGTGTGTGTGTGTGTGTGTGTGTGTGTGTGTGTGTGTGTGTGTGTGTGTGTGTGTGTGTGTGTGTGTGTGTGTGTTAACATAAAGAATGATGTCTTTGTAGGTAAGCGGTGGTATTTTAGCCGGGGTTGGTCTCCATGGAATCCAAAGACTTCTGGGGGAGAAAAGTCAGGCAGAGAGAAGTGTTTGTCTGCAAATCAAGAAATCACTCGAGGTTGTTTTTACGTCGTTTAGAAATATATAAACTATAAACTATAACTATTATTGTAAAAAGCCTGAGTGATGTCCCCCGTCTGTTCCTGCAAAGGGCGCTGGAGCTGAGGCGGGTTTTAAACCTCCTGACAAACCGTTACACCGCGCCCACCTGTCAATCATGTCGACTACACCCCTTATTCTGAATAACCCTTACATATTCAACAAATTCACCCCGGTACAGAGGGTCCCGATCGAGACATGAGCTAATCAGACTCATTTTTGTTTTTCTTGGCTGTAAAAATGTTGATTTCTGCTGCAAAAACGTCTTTTTTGTGTGTATGTGACTTCCTGTGCTGCTGCAGCCAGCCTCTAGTGGACATTTATACCTCAATGATGGCAAGAAAGCACAAAATCCAGCGTCACACACACACACACACACACACACACAGACATTCTTCTTAGCTGATACCACAGATGAGATAATGAAAGGCTGTCTGAGGAGCAGGTGGCAGGAGCTGATATTTCTGCCTCCCCACAGGTTCTCTGATTGTGTGTGTGTGTGTGTGTGTGGTGTGGGATGGGGGGGGGGGGGGGGGGTCCAGTATGTGTCTATTTGAGTGTGTTTGTGTGGCTGGAAAAGGCAGATGCAGTTGCGGTTTGTGAGATTAAAATACCCCTCGGAGGTCAGGTGGCTTTTCTAATAAAACTCGCACACAAACACATTCATATATATCAACTCCTGACTCATGAGAGGTTCAGGGCCAAGGCCACACCTGTCTCAGGGGGTCAGAGGTCACATGAGCTCATAGCGTAAGTAACCCTTTTCTCAGTCTCAGTCCTGTGTGAAAAGTGAAAGTGGTGTTGTGTGAGTGAAGAGAAAGACGTAAAGTTATGTCACAAAGGACTGAAGTAGAAGGAACGAGTAAAAATGCCTTAGATTCCGGGACCTTCAGAAAGTGGTCTCAGGCCGGTTTTAAGACTAAGACAAAGATGCTATGCTGCCTTTGTATGGATTCAGGTAGAGAGCAGCTTACCTCTGTAGACCATGTCGTATCAGCATCGATATATAAGTTTATACTATTGTGTGTGTAAAGGGGTAAAAAGTACTTAAAGTCTTTATCTGTGATTTTTCACACTTAAATGTAGAAATCAAGTTTATCCTCTGAAAATAACTCTGTGAGTCATGACTGTCTACAATGGGTGTAACACCCGAGTCCCACTGTCTGTGATGTTTTCAGAGTTTTCAGAGTCCTATCTTCACTTTGTTTACATCGCCGGGACGGCCGGCTGACTCCTCCCCTCGTGTATAAAAGTTGTTTAATTGAGGGACTAGAGAAAAGAAGAATAACATACTGTACTCACTGCTTAACTGTGTTTCTAGATCACGCTCATTTCAGGTAAATTTACATGCAGTGTGAAGATACCAGCATCATAAAGATCGCTAGCATTAGCATGCTAACATAACAATGCAGCGCGAGTTGTTTTGGTTTCATGCTGGAGCTCAAGGGCGACATCTGCTGGATCAAAAAATCACATATAAAGCCTTAAGATAACAGGAAGTCATTGTTTTCATTTATTTATATTGGTTTTGTCCTCTGCCTCACAGGACGTCTACCATTCCCACCGGCCCAAAGAGAAACTCCGCCTCGACAGCAACAACAACGAGAACTCCGTCCCTAAAGACTTTGACACCATCGACAGCAACAGCAACCTCGGAGCTCGATCTCAACGCCAACGGGTGCCGGTCCCAAACGCCAAACGAAAACTGGAGAAGGCCCAAGAACGGGGCATGCTGGGAAAACCCGCCAACGACGTCCTCAAGTACCCCGCCGTCCAGCCCAGGGGAGCCGGCCACAATCACAACCGCACCACTCTCGTCCGGAGGCCCCACCCCCAGGTCCCCACCAGCTCCGCACCAATCCAAGGGTCCAATCGGGATCCGTCGTTCCTCCAGGTGAAGAAGTCCGCCTCGCTGGAGCCGAGGAAGGAGCAGCCGCAGTGTGAGATCAGCGGGAAGGAGGCCATCTCGGCGCTGTCCAGGGCGAAGAGCCGCGAGTGTCGGCAGCGGATTGTGGAGGTGTACTGCAAACACAAGGAGAGGGCGCTGATGCCTGAGAAGGTGCCTCGCTTCTGCCCCATCGAAGGTGAGACAAACACACACACTTAACTAGATGATGAAGTCATGATAAACACTGTGGACATTTTAAGCTACTGAGGGGGGAAAAAAAGTACCAGAGACGGGCAACAAGACAGCCCTCCAAAAGTGAAGCCAACACATTTGGCACTCCTTTCACTGACTCGCTGCAGTATAGGTCATTAGCTCCGCCTCCTCCATGTTAACATACAGGACAAACAATAAAATCAAAATTCACATCAAATTAATTTTCCTCAGACATGATTTTTTTTTGTCCTCAAAGATTGTTCTTATCAAACTGATGTAGTGTCATAAAAGCCATCAGCATTTAGATTTCCCAGTTTCCCTAAATGCATCAGAAATGATCGGTCTGACCTCCATTCAACAAACAAACATTTTAAAGATGTATTTTTGGGCTTTTTGTGCCTTTATTGTAGAGAGAGGACAGTGGATAGAGCTGGAAATCAGGGAAAGAGAGAGAGAGTGGGGAATGAAATGCGGTAAAGGAGCCGCAGGCCGGATTTGAACCCGGGTCGCCCACTTGAAGGACTACAGCCTCCACACATGGGGCGCGCACACTAACCACTGTGCCACCAGCGCCCCAACAAACAAACATTTTAAACGTTGTTTATTTCTCCTCTTGAGGACAGCGCTGACAAAACTTGACTTGTACCTTTTTTTAATTTATTTTTTTAGAAAATCTGCGTCATGATGCTGTTTTTTTTTTTTTTTCAGCAAACTTAAAAACCTGAAAATCACAAGAAAAACTGATTTTCTATTTCAGGTTCATACCGCTGAAATAATCCAGATTTGGACTTGGTGGTGGCCCATTTCTTTTTGTTTCTAATGGAGAGCTGAACATATTCCCCAGTGAAAGTAGAACATTGAGTTATTGTACGCAGTTATTTCAGATGTGCTGACCTTTTTCAATTTGAGGGCTGGTTAACTCCTTCATGTTAGCAAAGCCGGTGATTGAGCGAGTCAAAGAAATGACAGAGTGAGAGAAGGAGAGAGCAAAGGAATCACAAAGGGAACAGTTGGCTCCTTTGAAGTTGGGGGCATATTTTTTTCAAAATTCATCCTTTGAGAAACTTTTTTTTTTAACCCGCCACGTGCCGGTTTCCGCACAGAGGCGGAGGTAGCCAACTTTTTTCTATTCATGGACCGAAAGCATGAATGGACACGGGGAGGATGATACTCATCCAGCGTAATTACTCTCTAATTAAATAGCTTGTAGGCTTATTTTTGGAATAGCTGACTAATGATTTAGTTGTAAGCAAAAGCTCTCAGAACCTCCCTGGGCCAATTGAGGTTTAATTTATATGATTACAGGTTACTTGGACGAAACAGTAGTCATTAAATCCACAGACCAGCGACGCATGATCTGGTTAGAGTCCGACTGTACTCAGTATTTTACAGAGTGAGATCTGTGTTTCTGTGCTCATGTCTGCTTGAAAGTGTACATCCTTTACATGTGCGCGACATCGCTGCCTCCCTCTGCAGCGCTCCACCGAGCTGCCTGATTACAGTCATTCCTCCTCAAACTCCAACCCTCAGCACGTCCCGGGGAAGGTCACTAATTAGACCGAGCAGGCCTCAACCCATGCCCTCTTTTAGAGACAGCAATGATGATGGAGAAGCTTTTGGCTCGTCAGAAGTTTTTTTGTATATACAAGAAGCAGATTTAGCTCAGGCAGCCTCGGAAAACCTGAATTCTTCCAGGAAAGAAGGGAAGTGAAGATAAAGGGCGAGAGTGGAGAACGGTGACTCATAACCTCGAAAGTAGAGTCTTTCCCGCTAACCATTTCTAAGATTTTTTGATGACGAAGTGTCTAACAACGGTGCTCTGAGTTAAATATCACAAACTACAGACGGGATACAGTTGGGCTGCGATGATGATGTTTGATTAATCTGTTCCATTTATTTTTATTGTCCAAGGATATACAAACAATTTGGCACTGATGTCTTACAAAATATATTTAAAAGAAAGACAGAGGTGCAAATCCAAAACGGTGCTGAAAAAAAAAAAATCTACTAATTTGTATTCTTCTTCATTTCTTAGAGGTTTCTTTACATTTTAATTTCTATAAAGTAGAATCGAAGAAGCCTTTGCGTATCCATTTCATAAGAAAGGTGTGTAGCAGAGCCATCACAAACTTCGAAGGTACTGAACATGTACCAACACTTTGCCAGCGTGGAATTTAAAGATGTCAGTCGGTGGTACTGGATTGGCTTTTGTGTTTGACCAATCAGCGTACACTGATGTATGGACCAATCACAGAGCACTTGAAAGTCCCTCTTGTGCTGGGAGAGTACCGACTCTGAAGCAGGAACTAAAAACGGTTCCTCTTAACTAAAGTAGCTCATAGTTCCTGCAGGGTTCCAACAGTTCCTGGAGGTCTAAAAACACCTAATAACAGAGGAGAGACTTGTTTTTTGGGGTTAAACATTTCACAAATAAATTGTGCTGATGTGTTAAAATATAACAGTCTTCAGATCGCGCCTATCCCCACACATATCCTGTTGACCCGACGCCTCTGCATGAACTTCTGCTTTTGCAGGAAACCTTTGCATGGCGCTGCTTTTCTTTGGATTAAAGTGCACAAACCTCCATCCCTCCCCTTTTTGATATAATTTATAAAAGTGTGGTTCCCCCTTTGCCTTCTTGGAGCTGACTCTGCAGGCTGCTGTAGTACTCTGTATTGTTTTTTTGCAAGAATAAAGAACACAGAGAGACAGATCATTGGTCGAGAAGATTTCCAACTGGCATTAGAAAAATAAATAGAATTTCTCACGACTCCTTTACATTTTTCTATGTTTTCTTTGTGAATTTGAGCTTGGAATAAAGTAAATATAAAGCATAAAGAGAAATTTAACCGAGGCGTTCGGTCACTAAGAGGGGAAGTAGAAGTGCAGAGACAACTTTTGTAACCTATAGTAACAACAAGCGCTAAAGAGAAGTGCTCTGAAACTGAGGCTGGGGATGTCTCAATACCAGAAAATTAAACTTTGATAAGACACTAGTGAAAATCAAATGACGTTGATACCTGTTTCAAAACCACAGCAACAATAGAAGAAATCCTAATCATCCAATATTTGGAATTTCTTGTTTTTAAATATGAAAATATAATTATGATTATCGATGGATGAAAAAACAAGTTCTTAGCATCTCAGCACTTTTTCCAACAGAGCCTGAAAGCATCATTCAAGTTGCATCATGTCGTATGTTTCTGGAGCTGAAGCCCTTGTCTCCTCCGTCCAGGTAAAGCTAACGTGAACATCCAGTGGGACGAGGACCCCTCGGCTGCTGCCCGGCTCGTTCCCGCGCGGATCGCCTTCGTCCTGGTCGTCCACGGCCGAGCCTCGCGTCAGTTTCAGCGTCTCTTCAAAGCCATCTACCACACCTCGCACTACTACTACATCCACGTTGACCAGGTGAACCCAGCGACCAAAAAAAAATGTTGATGTCATTACCAGATTCACTAACTCCTCGATCGATCGTCTGATAATGGACTCACCTCTTATCATCTTTTTTTCTTTTTCTCAGAGGTCCAACTACCTCCACAGAGAGATCCTGTCTCTGGCGGCCCGGTACCCCAACGTCAGGGTGACTCCCTGGCGGATGTCCACCATCTGGGGCGGGGCCAGCCTGCTGACTATGTACCTACGCAGCATGGAGGACCTTCTCAAGATGGCCGACTGGTCCTGGGACTTCTTCATCAACCTCAGCGCTGCAGACTATCCCATCAGGTGAGAGACTGAGCCGGTCCAGGAAGCGAAGGGTTAATTATCAGTAAACAGTCAGCTGACTTTTCTCCAGTTCCAACGCGTTCTCCTCCATGTCGGCTGACGGTTCAATATTATGACATAAACACACGACAATAACTCAGACAGGAAAGCAACTCCCATGATGCATCTCACAGCCCCAAACATTTATCAAGTACCTGCCCACCTCAGCTAATCAAGACGGTGGCTCCCCAGTCATTAGCCGTACAACAAGGCAGGAAGGCCCGCCCCCTCTCTACATTGACAGACATGCAATACAACCTCTCAGGGACAGTGTTACTGGAACAATATCTCCAAAGCCACCAGAATCCACACACAAAAATGGACACCACAACGGACATTTAGGTCTGCTGCTGAATAAAGTTGGTATTTAAAAGGAAAAGCAATTTCTATTTTGCAGTAAGTGAAAGGCGGAGAGTCTCTACTACTTTGAAAAACTTGTGAATGTCCTCTCTCATGGTCTTATGGGTTTGGTGTGGGTGGTTCTGGAGGTTTGTTGAAAAGGGTTTTTGTGTCATTTTGTGTTGGAAAATACCAAAGTTGGCCAACACCCAAAAGACGTTCAGACTCGGGCAGTGTTAGACTCGAAGCTCCTGTGTCCTGCAAGTTGACATGATCGTCCTGTCAATGGAGTCTTGTAGCTGCGGAGGGAGCGGTGTTATGGTTGTTTTGGGTTAAATGAATCGTACATTGCAAAAAGATCTAAGCTTGTCAGAAGTGAAAATGATCTCAGATCAACAGACTCTAAATCAATAGAAGCTTGGTTCCTCTATTGCACCGTGTTTTATCCCTTTTTGACTGAGGGGGGGATTTATTTATTTATTTGTCATGTTTGGTTCCTGCTGAACGTCACATCGATTCGTCTTCAACACTGTGGCAGCTAAAGACCACTAAACAGTGATCCTGCAGCCCTGTGCGCCGCCTTGTTTGGTTTGTTTAAAGGTCTTATGGATCAGGTTACCGGCGTCCAGCAAGACCACAACTTCATCGACTCGAGGGAGTCCATGTAGCGCTGAAGCAGAGCCCTTTAATGGCTGCCCTGCTGCTTGGGGAATTGAGGGGGGATCTGTTGTTGTAGGAAGCGCTTTGGCTGTGATCATTGGAGATATTGACTGATGGTTTATTTCACAGTGTGGAAGGCAAGAAAAGAGATAGCATAATGAGGTGTTGTGTTTTGGCTTATCGATGTGTTACAGCTGGTGCACAGATGTTGTCTTTCTTCACTCGGCTGTTTGCGGCACCACATGTCAGCCGGCTCTGATCGCTTTCTATCTTTTTTTTGGGCGGCTGTGGCCTCAGTTAGGAGAGTCGGTCGGGGATTGGATTCCCAGCTCCTGCAGCTACATGTCCGATGTGTCCTTGGGCAAAGACACTTAACCCCAAGTTGCTCCTTCTGCTTTGTTGGCCGTGTATGAATGGATTAGTTACTACTGAAGGACACAGCAGCCTCTGCCATCAGTGTGTGAATGTGTAGGTTTGACCTGCGGTGTAAAAGGGCTTTGAGTAGTCACAAGACAAGCTCCAGTCCATCTTTCTTTTGGCTGACTCGCAAGTACATTAGTAAGTTTAACATACTAAGAAATCGGCTCCATTGGGCAGGAACTCATTTAAGTTTGAGGCAATAAAATCAGAGCAGTTTAATCGTCTTACTGGGCTGATTGGAGCCGCGGTGGTTTAGCTCTGCCGCCTCAGAGCAAGAAGGGTTCCTGGTTTGAATTCCCCCGTCGGACAGGAGCCTTTCTGTGTGGAGTTTGCATGTTTCTCCCTGGGTACTCCGGCGTCCTCCCACAGTCTAAAGACGTACTCATGAGGTTAATTGTTGACTCTTAAATGGCCCGTAGTTGTGAGTCTGTCTCTCTGTATGTCAGCCCTGTGATTGACAGGCAGCCAGCCCAGTCCAGGGTGTATCCCCGGCTCGTTCCCAGTGACAGCTGGCATCTGCTCCAGCCCCCGCGGCGGCCTCGACCGGACAAGTGGTATGGGTAATGGACGGATGGATTCAGTTAAGAGTGATTTTTAAAAAAAAACAGCAAATCTATCTTTAGACTGGGGAAGATAAACCCCCCCGACAATAACTCAATCAAACGATTGCAGACACATTATGTGAAAGTTTAACATTTCAAGTTCTTCTTCTTGCTGTTCTTCTGAGTGCTCTTCATAAGGATAGTAATATAAGAACACACACACACACACACACACGTACTCACTGATCTGCTCTCCTCTGTCCTCACATCAGAGTGACTGTTTGAACACCCTCGCAGCTAAAATCCATAACACAGCCAGCCACAGCATTAACACAACCATCAATAGCTGTGACATCATGAAGGTACATGGAGAGTGAGTCAATGGAACACTTAGTGAGTGTGTGTGTGTGTGTGTGTGTGTGTTTTAATAGCTGCTGTATGTTTCAGGAGTAGGTCACTTGCACTTTTTTAAAATATGAAACCTCAGTGAAGTCCGACAAAAAAAAAATTCCACTTCTTTCTCGTTGTGAACCACATGGCAGCTTTACCAAGCATTAAAAAAATATGAAATCTGAATTGTCAAGCATGTTTCTGTCTGTCTTTTTTTTATTCAGTGGGACATGTAGAGTCTGTTTCATAACCAAACTTAAAAACTACATCTGTAGATGAGCGTCCTCAGTCAGATTTAAAGTGTGTGTGAGAGACTGATGAACACAAACATGCCCACAAACACACACATGCATGCCTGCGGTTCGTCTTAACGACTGTAATCAAATGTAATCAAAGCGATCCGTCTGTCTGTCTGCTGTCCTGTCTACTCATTGGTGCGACACCGGGACCGAGACGTACATGTGCTTACAGCTCACACTGCATGCAGGGGGGGGGGGGATGTGCTTCCTCTGCTCCAAGACTCACACACACACACACACACACACACACACACACACACACAGCTTTACTTTACTGTTGCTGTTTTTCTCCCAGTTGGAAGAGGAAGCTAAATAAACTGGTCCAGCTGTCCTGAACACACTTACATGAAGCTCTTTGAATTCCCGTTAATGGAAGATTGTTTTACATTGTTTGAAAGAAGAAAGTGCATCGGTTAATAACATCCTGCTTAAAGAGAAATCCTCCCTTAAACAGTGTTTAAAAACAGTGTTTTTAGGGTTTTATTATACCAGACAGTAAGATGTTTTCAGAGGAGATAAAAGGGTAAATAAGGTCCAAATTTAAGATTTTGCTGAAACCAATGGACCCTCTCTGTTTCATTAGTTTACAGTCAAACACATTTCTTGTACAAACAGAAACTCTGACCTGAATATTGTGCAGAATTTAGGATCAATGAAGTTGTTTTCTTTACGTCTAAAAACAGATATCTGGATTAGAGTGACGAGTTTGGAGCACTCTGTTGTCAGGAGATTATTGACCATTTACATCTGAATGGCTTTGATTGTATAAATTGGCTGTATTTAAAAAATCAGACCACCTTTTGTCGGTTTGAAATGCCTTAAACCTGCATTCTTTCTAATGGCCAGAGGGGGCGACGACACTGACTACATACAGAAGTCTGGTTGAATTGAAAGTTTTTTGCATTACTAAGCCTGACTCCTCATTTGATTAATGCCTCAGTAAGCTTTTCCCTCATGACCCCGTAAAGAGTCTCAACTGCTTCTTCAAGTCTTCTTCAATACAGCTTGATGTTATTTTTTGATGTAAGCCTGGTTGTCTGAGTTGTTGACTGTTTGCCGTCGTCTTCCATCAGGACCAATGAGCAGCTGGTGGCTTTCCTGTCTAAGTATCGCAACATGAACTTCATCAAGTCTCACGGCAGAGACAACGCACGGTAAGAGTAAAAACTGCAAAAATAATGAGCTTCATTTTGCAAACATTAAAGACTTGCAGTCTATTTTTTCTCTTTCCAGTTTAACACTTGATCCTCTGTGTCCCCCTCAGCTTCATCCGTAAGCAGGGTCTGGACCGTCTCTTCCTGGAGTGCGACACCCACATGTGGCGTCTCGGGGACCGCAAGATCCCTGAGGGCATCGCGGTGGACGGAGGCTCTGATTGGTTCCTGGTAAACCGGCCTTTTGTGGACTATGTGGTGAACTCCAGAGACGAGCTGGTCAGCAGCATGAAGCGCTTCTACGCCCACACACTGCTGCCAGCTGAGGTAACACACACACACACACACACACACACACACACACACATGCACTGGAGTAACCCCTCAGATACAGTTTAAGTACAGAGGGAGAGTTTGCTGGTCTCCTATAGAGGAGTACCAGCTGATGATTTCAAGGTAATCCTCCTGGTGGTCACGGATGGTATCACTCTCTGGACTGATTTTAGCCCTGTTCACACATGCACACCTGAATAATTCCTGACATCATCATTTTGGGCTACATGTGTGAATCCAAAAGACCGTTTTTTTGCTTCCTAAGAAATGTATGTTGTTTTTATGTCACGTTTATGTCTGAAATCCACTTTTAGCATTCCTAACATCAAAACAGAGATGTTTTAAAATTCCTTCCTTTGGTGTGTGCGAAGAAGCAAAATATTGAGTTAAATTAGAAGTGATGTGATGAGTGTGGGGAAATTGTTCAATGGGAATATAAACTTGATTCTACGCTTCTCATGTCAAGTGTCTTATATCCAAAAGACTGGACACTTTAATTTAAACTAAACCACATAATGATGTTAAAAAAATGTTAATAATTAGATTTTTGTGCAATGGAGATAGTGTGAAGGAATTTTCTTGCAATGTTTAATAACTGAAAACAAGGAAAGGTATCGATGTCCTCTGATTTTTACTGGTTTCATTCAAGTTTTAAATTCTGGTATAGTGACAGTTTGAGTCTCAGTTGGCTGGAACACAAATCTGTCCGAGCTACGTCTGCTGCAGTCGCTGCTGAAGTAGTGATACACAAATATGATGTATCTGAATTCCTCATTAATGTTTTTCTGTCTCTTCCTGCAGTCGTTTTTCCACACCGTGCTGGAGAACAGCGCCCACTGTGAGACCATGGTGGACAACAACCTGCGGCTCACCAACTGGAACCGCAAGCTGGGCTGCAAGTGTCAGTACAAGCACATCGTGGACTGGTGTGGCTGCTCCCCCAACGACTTCAAACCCTCCGATCTGCCACGCTTCCAGGTAAGACTTTTTTATTTTTATAGAGTCTAAGCAGCATCGTCTCTCGTTAATTCTTAATACTTACATTTGCAGCACAGAGGCATTTTCCTGAGATGCACAGATTTTATTCTTTGACTTAAAGACATCAGTGTGAACTCAAAAACGAGGCATATGTTTTTACGTAAACCTTTTTGACTGGGGCACTGGCTTCTGCAGGGGACGCATGAAGTTTGTGGGCACATGCACACAAATCATTTCTTTTTTTTTTTACCCTTTCTATCCCCACTTATGATATGTACTTATAAGTAACCCAACCTGGCAACGTATACCTTCTTACATAAAGGCAGGACCATGATTCAAAGTACAGCGATGATCCTTTAAGTCCTCAGTAGTCGTTGTCTTAGTCCTCATTTGTGCAATGACTCCCTCGATTTAAAGGCTTAATATGCAATTTTTTGATCCAGCAGATGTCGCCCTTGAGCACCAGCATGAAACCAAAACAACTCGCGCTGCATTGTTGTGTTAGCATGCTAATGCTAGCGATCTTTATTATGCTGGTATCTTCACACTGCATGTAAATTTACCTGAAATGAGCGTGATCTAGAAACACAGTTAAGCAGTGAGTACAGTATGTTATTCTTCTTTTCTCTAGTCCCTCAATTAAACAACTTTTATACTCGAGGGGAGGAGTCAGCCGGCCGTCCCGGCGATGTAAACAAAGTGAAGATAGGACTCTGAAAACTCTGAAAACATCACAGACAGTGGGACTCGGGTGTTACACCCATTGTAGACAGTCATGACTCACAGAGTTATTTTCAGAGGATATACTTGATTTCTACATTTAAGTGTGAAAAATCACAAATAAAGACTTTAAAGTCGGATGAACACAAAGACACAAACATCTCTCTGATTCGCTCCTTTTAAAGAAGAAGTACCCCTTATACTCTTGACTTTGCCATGACAACGGACGGCCCTTTATTCTCTCAGACTTACTTTAAACTTCTCGGTTTTCACAGTTCACTATTTGTGATTTTAATTTGGATTTTTTTTTTTTGTGGATCAAACATGATGATGCGTCTGCGCTGTAACAGCTGGTACAGTAGAGACCTGCCACATATATCACCGCATCAAGGGGTCATATAACTGTACTCTTTAGTCCTCCTGTTCTGTCCAGCCGTCCCCTCTCAGGCCCTCAGTGGCTGAACACCAGAATAGCTCCATATTCACAAATTAGCAGTGCTGCTTTTACTTGCATCAGGCGGTCCCTGGCTCCCTGTAACGACAGACCTGAAGACAGCGTCTGTGGTGGAGCTGCTGATGGTTTCTATAAGAGGAGCTGATCCTGGAAACAGCTGTGCTCTTCAGGCAGATAGTATTTTTAGAGCTTTGTAGCTAGCTGGCTGCCGCTGAGGTTTTATAAGGTTGTTATTATCATAATGCCGGGGTTTGCCAGCTAGAAAGGCGGCTCAGAGAATGTAAGGTCAGGAACATACTTGTGCTGAATATACAATACACACACTATTTCCATCTGCTGCTCTGGCTGTGATGTGACCGTACTATACTTAGTTCAAATAAAATAAAATGATAGAGATGTCTTGAGTTTTCATCAGAGCGACACATGGCCCGTCCTTATGGTTTGTCTCAGGCACATTAGTTTTCATTTGGATGAGCCGCCTCGCTGCAGACGTTCAAACTCTCCTCCCCGACTTATAGAATATTTGAGAAGGTATTTTAAAAGAAGTGGCTTCAGATGTTTCTGTGAATCATTTACAATACAGTGATCCAAAAACGAATACAAACTAAACTTAAACTAACAACGCTGCAACTAAACTGAAATGTAAAACAAAAAGAAGAGGGATGGATGGATGGATGGATGGATAGATGGATGGATGGATACTTTATTTACTCCCTGAGAGAAAATCAGGTGCTCCCGACTATAAGTTAAAAACATTGAACAAACAGTGAAAACAGAAAATATTAAATGATAAAAACAAGACACCAGAGTCCTGAATAATTAAAAAACTGCACCGACTAAATGAACAGATAATTAGAATACTGAAGGTCTCTGCAGTCCTAAATAGTTTGTATTATTGCACCGATCCCCAGAGTGTTTAGGAGAGAAAGGAGGGCAGTGACGTTCCTCCCACAGCTCCAGTCATGAGCCTGTGTGTTATGAAACTATGAAACTACTATGAAAAACTTCCAACTTGATAACTACTAAAAAAGATTTTTTTTAAAAGGTTCAGCGTTGACTCAGTGAAGCTGAATCGGCTCCATCAAGAGAGCAGCTGCTTGAATCATATTTGGCTGACCTCCTTCGTGCAGAGTGAAGGAACAAGTCCCCCTCTGATCCTCTAAACGAGCGCCTCCTGACTCTGTAACTAGTGGTCAGCTCTGTTGTGTCAGGACGCAGGTCGTTGGGTTTCAGTCCCAGAGAAAGCCGGCAGTAAGATCTGACTCCGCTGAAGCCTGGTCAGTCCTCGAGGGTTTTTCTTAACGATGAGGTTTCATGGCCGCTGGAGCTGCTGGGGACCACCATGAGCTCTGGGTTTTTTTATGTCACACCCTCCTGATGACATCATCCACCACACCTTTCCCTCCTTCTCAGTCGAGAAGCCTAGTACCTTGGTTTTCCTGGAGATGTAGAATAAACGTTTGTCATATAAATGTGGTCGTTGTTAAAATGTAGAATGACAGTTTTCATGCAGATTTAGAAAAAGGCTAAACTTTACTGGCTAAACTCCTGGATCAAAAAAGTTGCACATCCTTTTAAGTTATTTCACTGAATTATAAATGTTGTATTCTCACCGCGCTCATCCCTCCTTGTCTCTGTCCGTCCGTCCTGACCCACAGCAAGCATCCAGACCCACCTTCTTTGCCAGGAAGTTCGAGGCCAGCGTCAGCCAGGAGATCATCAACCAGCTGGACTCGTACCTGTTCGGGACGTACCCGGCGGGCACCCCGAGCCTCCAGGCGTACTGGGAGAACGTCTACGAGCAGGAGACGGACGGCCCCGCCGGCCTATCGGACGCCACGCTCAGTCACTACCACGCCTTCGCTCGGATGGGGCTTTCCCGCGCTGCCAGCTCTCTGCAGGGACATCCCAACGACAACAGCTGCAGGTATGAACATTTTAAACCAAAGATTATTTGAGAGCTGGGTTTGGTGTCATGGCAACAATGCAGTCAGTTCTGGAAAGAAGAAGTACATCCAGAGTGCCGGATGAATAACTGAAGACAAACCCAAAGATACTTTTTAGGAACGAGTGATCTGAATAGGCCTCACATACATGTATTAGTCCTCCCTGTCCTGAGTGTGTGAGGTTGTTGTGTCAGTTAATTTGAGTTTTTGCAGAGTAACTGTCTGAAGGGAGCGAGTAAAAAAATGTCTTTCCACCAAAACTAACCACCGCCTATATTTTGTGAGTCTAAATTAAATATAAAGATAACGGTAGCTTGTCCCGGGATACAATCAGGCTACAGTGTCCGCTCAGACTGGATTTTTCCAGCTGTGTGTGTGTGTCGGGTGGAGACCCACAGTAGGTACAAGGAGGTACTTGTTGTTAGAGTTTTGGAAGGGGACTGACTGGTGGATGGAATGGGGTGGGGGGGGGAACATTATGGGAAGTGTGTTAGTCTGTGTGTGTGTGAAGGGGGGAAACGGGGGGGGTGGGGGGGTTTTTAAACAGGTCGACTCTGTTTTCCTTCAACCTGTGAGTCTAGTCGAGCAACATCTAAGAGCACGTCCACACTAATGTGGGGGCACGTTTAAAAACATGAGCTACATGTCAGACACGGGTCCATCCACATCGCTAACTTAAGAAAAGTTTTCCTTCAGGTGAGCGTCACAGAATAAAAAAGACGGTTAAGAAGCTTCTTCTTTTGCTTTGGGAAATACTAAACTTGCGCACTAATGCCAGCTGCTAATAAAAAGTAGAGTGGTCATGATACCAGATCTTTAAAACCTTGATACGACTTTTGTAGAATTCAAACTTTTTTTCATATTTACAAATCCAGATATTCCACAAATACGATTTATCAATACGATTTATTATCGATTTATCGCCCAGCCCTAATTTAACCCCAGGAGCACAACATCTGAGGTAGAGCCAAGGAACGGCTGACCTTTGACCTCAATGCTATCCTGCTGGTGTTTCCCATGTTAACAATTACGAGCACTCAACAAGATGGTTCAGCCGAGGTTAAGTGGAGTGTCAGGATGAATGGTCATGACATTTGGTGATCCTCTGACTGGGTGTATAAATGTCTGAGCCCACACTTCCTGAAAATCCATTTCATAGTTCGACTTCAGTCGAGCTGAGAGCGGCAGACTGATCGACAGACCTGACTTTGGATTCATGCTGCCAGCGCGGTTAAAAATATCTGACCCTGCGATTGTATTAGGAAGTGTGATGAAGCGGTCAGCCAGCTAGCTTTGGGTTTAGCCAGGTGTCCTGAAATAGGTTCAGGTGGAGATCCCCATGGTGCACCAATAACTTAATCTAAAAGCTAGCGTATGCAAATGTTACATCTTTAAAGTCTTTACACAAATCCAGTGTTCTTACATCAAAAGAAAAATGCAGCATCTGTGGATGTTGTCAAACCTTTTATTAATCTGTTAATTCATTTTTTTCACACTCATTGGATGGCCTACCTGCCCGCCAGTGTTCAACACGTTAGAGCTAGTAGAATGTAGAATGGCTTTGTTTCTCCAGGCTTGAAACTCTCCACATCCGTTTATTCAAAACAGAACTTCTTATGAATAATAATATGGTTTACCTCCACATTTATATTTAATGACAAATAAAGCTGCTTTTTAAATTTGATCTACACTCACCCTCGTATTCCCTCAGGATGTCAGCCTATCGGGAGGGTGTTGATCTTCTTCCTTTTTTTTACCAAGCAGCTCAGAGTAACATCAGGAAAGATGGTGAAATCTAAATAAAATAAAGAAAAAAGAATTCAAACAGTCTTTGTAGGCGTGCATGATTTTTGATTCAACACGTCTGTCAGGTCGAATTTAGGATGTTTTTCTAATCTTCTATTAGAAAAAAAAAAAATGACATATACAATAATTCACATCTTAATCACAGCCAACGCATCGCCCTGTTTTTATAGCTTTAATGGTATTCTATTTGTAGGTAAGGTCAGTTTATTTATACAGCTCATCTCTGCAGAACAGCAATTCAAAGTGCTTCACACAAAACAGCAAAAACATCACGACAAAGGGAAAAAGAAACATTTAAAAAATCATTAAAACCATTAAAAATCAAAGAGAAGATCAAATAAAAACGGCAAAAATCAGACCTGAGCCGTCTGGATGGTTCAAAACAAGGAAGGTCACTTAATGTTTCGACCTTGATGTTTACAAATCAGTTTGTTAGAAATGTTTTAATCCAAATACTCCTGCAGGTTTGTTAGCTTTTCTGCAGCTGATTGGTCTGAGTTCAGTGTGTTCTGTCTGGGTCTCTCTCAGGTACGTTGCAATGAGCCACCCGGTGTCGGTCCACCTCTACTTCCTGTCAGACCAGTTCCAGGGCTACCTGGTGCGTCATGTGGCCACTAACCGAGCCTCCACCCAGCTGGAGACCCTGGAGACCTGGGTGACACCCAGAGACCACTTCGCCCCGGCTAGCCCCGTCGTCGCCAACAACAGGCTGCAGCACGTCCAGGTCTCACACACACACACACACACACACACACACACACACACACACACACACACACACACACACACACACACACACACACACACACACACACACACACACACACACACACACACACACACACACACACACACACACACACACACACATAAAACCTCCCCAACACAGACCTCTGACATTTTCTTATATGAAGAAAAATCGAAAAATATTTTTCAATCAAATGTTTAATCATGTTACTAAATAGTTAGCAGGTGATCCTGACCCTCTTCTCTCCTTCAGGTCGGGACGGACTGGGATCCTAAGGAGCGCCTCTTCAGGAACTGGGGGTGCCTCGTGGGGCCCGAGGACGAGCCGGTGGCCGTGCAGCGCTGGAGCCGCAGTCAGACCAACCTGACGGCGACCGTGGTGTGGATAGACCCCACCAACGTCATCGCCGCCACCTACGACATCCTGGTGGACGCCTCCGCAGAGGTCACCCACTACCGGCCGCCGCTCACCCTCCCGCTGAGGCCCGGCGTGTGGACGCTGAGGGTGCTGCACCACTGGAACCCGCTCGGCCAGACCAGCTTCATCGTGACGCCGCTGGAGTTCCGCCGACAGCAGCCGATACTGCAAGGTGAGCGATCCAAAGATAAAACGCTTTTCTTAGTCTTCTGACAACTCAGAGCGCTTTTACAACACCACCAATTCACACACGTTCATACGCTGCCGCAGAGCAAATTGGGGTGAAGTGTCCAAGGAGACATCAGACAGGAGCTGGAGATCGAACCCCCGACCCTCTGGTTAGGCGACTTGTGTAAATCAGTGTACTTCTTGTGATGAAAGATATCAGGGACAAAAAATGACTAAAGTATAAATAAATAAATGTTGGGAGAAATGCATACAATAATGTATAAATAAATGAATAATTAAATAAATGCATCAATGAATATATAAATATATAAAATATATATATATATATATATATATATATATATAAATGCAACAATTCATATAAAAAATGTATATATAAATAAATATATTCATATATTTATTTATGTATTTCTGTGCCCATGTTGTACAAGGAAAAGTAAATATGTAAATTAAGTGGGCCGTCCTAAAATTACTGAAGTAGGATTGGTCAATTTTGAAAAACAGACAGAAGCAAATTTACATATATACTTTTCCTCTTACAACCTGGACACAGAAATAAATAGATGTATAAATGTAAAAATACGGAAATAAATTAATAACTCAATTAATGTGGAAATGTATGCATTGATACATATATAACAGAAATATGCTAATAAATGAATAAATACATGTAAAAATATATAAATAGCCTTTTTCATTAACAAAGTGTATTTATTATTTATTCATTGATGTATTGTTTTCAGTATTTATTTATTTATTTATACTTTAGTCATTTTTTGTCCCTCATAGAAAGATACAACAGAAAACTCAAAGTGCTTGGTCTTTTTCGCTTCTCTGATTTTTGGAAATTTTCTAAATCCAAAACAAAAAACGCCAACCAGAATTTACATATTTAGACACTTCAAATCCATTATTACCTCTTTACCTCTTCTGAAGATTATTTCCTTTTTAATATAGATGGAAATAACAGGAGCAAAATGTACTGTTTCATACTGAAACATTTAGAAGTGACACAAAATTCAGCAACCGGTATTCCCAGGATAAAGTGACCGACTCTTCCACTGAGCCACAGCCGCCCCAGCAGATTTGTTGTGAATGGCAATATGTTCTATGAGAAAATATGCTGACATCGCTTGGTTTATTACCTCAGTATACGTTTAGGATAAATGATATTGTTGCTGTGCTGACAATAAATGTGTGTATCTGTATGACTCATTTCATCAGATGTAGGTAATGTGAGTAATTTGGCAGAATTAACCTTGAGAAAGTCTTGTGGAAACACCTGTTGAATTCAAATGTAGGAGCTTTAGAGGGGTCCCTGTGGTTCTCCTGTCAATCATAGATCTTAAATAACACACACACACACACACACACACACACACAGGCCGTCCTGTCTCAGCTGTCAGCACCGTGCACACATGTATTTATAGTGTCAGTATCCAGTCACTCGCTCACACAGTCTCGGGGTCACCCCTATCCAAATTATCCTCCCCTCCCCTGGATTACAGTTTGGTTAGTTTGACCTCTGCAGAACTCTGCGTGTGTGTGTGTGTGTGTGTGTGTGTGTGTGTGTGTGTGTGTGTGTGTGTGTGTGTGTGTGTGTGTGTGTGTGTGTGTGTGTGTGTGTGTGTGTGTGTGTGTGTGTGTGTGTGTGTGTGTGTGTGTGTGTGTGTGTGTGTGTGTGTGTGTGTGTGTGTGTGTGTGTGTGTGTGTGTGTGTGTGTGTGTGCGCGTTTGAGATGGAGAGAACGCTAAGTTAAGCCTGATACACGAATAGACTGTGAGGTTTATTGACTGGTGTCATAAAGTGAAGTTGACATGTGATGTAATGTGATCACAGTGTGTGTGTGTGTGTGTGTGTGTATTTGCGTCATTGTGTTTTAGCAGACACTGCTGGTATCCTCTCTCTCTCCTCTTCATCTGACGCACAGCTTTTTGAAACTCATCATGTTCTTTATATCACCCAAATTGGATGGGTTAGAAAAATAACTTTAATAAAAGTTACTTTAATTTAAAACAATATTTATTTAAACAAAGTTTTGAGACTGAATTTAGGTCTGGAAAATGAGAAGTGTTACATGAAACAGGATTTCTTTTAAACGCCTGTCAGAGTCATTCAAAGCCTGCAGATTTGTTAAGAAAGGTAAAATGTTTTATCTTGTCTAAATTCTCCTCTCCGTCCCCTCCCTCCCCCTCCGTCCCCCTCCCCCTCCCCTCCCCCTCCCCCCACCTCACCTCTTGTTTTGGGATGCAGAGGACGCTCTGCGGTTGCACGGCGGCCCCGCCAGAAACTCCTACATGGAGCAGAGTTTCCACGGCCTGAACCCGGTGCTGCGGCTGCCGGTGAGCCTGGGCGCCGTGGAGGAGGCCGAGGCCAACGCCGGCCTCACGGGGGCGCCGCTGCGTCGCTGGCTGGATCGGCTGCTCGAGGGCCACTGGTCGGCCTCGGACGTCTGCTCGACGGGACCCAGCGCCTGTCCCGTCATGCAGCGCTGCCCTCAAACCGTCTGGAGCTCGGCCAGCCCCGACCCCAAGTCTGAACTGAGCACACCCAGAGAGGACGGGCGGATCAGGTAGCAGACGGACGGACTGAGGGAGGGATAAATGAAGGAAAGGCACGGGGGGCCGATGTCCCGATTGTGTCTGATATTTATTTATTTAAAGTTTGTGCAGAGCGAGAGTGAGTGTGATGAGAAGAAGAGAAACAGACTCAAATACTGAGGACGGACTTCCTCCTTCAGTCCTCTCTCTGTGTGCTGCCCTGCTCTCACTGATGGGACTCCGAAGTGTGTGTGAGGTATGTGTGTGTGTGTGTGTGTGTGTGTGTGTGTGTTGAAGCAGTATGTGAGAAGAACTCTAAGGTATGAAAACATGTTTGACGTCTGTTGCTGAAAACGACACGGTTGCTCATCGTTAGGCCCATTATTGGAAAGATGTTTGTATTAGAGACCTTTTTGTTTTTATTTAAATTGTTTTTATATTGACTTTATTTATTTCATTCCAGCCCGTTATCCCTCATATCTCCAAATAAATTCAAACCTCCTGGTGTATCAGAAAAACTTAAATCTCAGTCCCATCAGAGAAAATTGACAGCAGATGAAACTTTTCAGTTCCAACAACTGAAGTCCAAAATTTTTGTTTCCAGATAACGGCAAACATGGGAAGTTTTTAATCTATTTTTAAAACTCGTCAAGTAATACTCTGGCTTATTTTCAACCCGTCTTCTAAACCATGAAGGATTTCATTGAAATAAGTCCTCAAAGGTCAAAGGTTAAATGCATCTTTATCGTCCAAAGAGAAGAAACTCTTTAAGTTTCTGGTTCCCATGAGATATCAAATCATTCCCCTTTTATTTGAAGATGATAAATTAGATAATTTAAGTCCTCCCCCACCACACAGTGCAATGTTTTGATTGTCTAATCTTTCAGATGAGATATGAAGATGATGAGCCTTAAAAAAAAAGTTAGGAGCAAACACGACTGAGAGAGAAGTATAAAATCAAATATTTGTCTTTGAGGTTTGAAGTAGAACTTTCTAGTATTACTTTGCTAAAGGTACTCGGTTACTTTCCACCACTCACAAACTACCTGCAATTTTAAGAACCTGTTGCAGAAGCTGACTGACTTTCATTGACTGTATATAAAGATGGATGACGCATCTTCATGCCTCCTGTTGTACAAAAGTGAAGCCAAAATACTGGTGCTGACATATTGGGCTGGTTGCCTCATTGTTCTGTAGATTATTCCTTTTCAAAGCATGAAATAACTAATTTAAACTAAAGACAGGAACCATGTTTGTCCCATCTGTTTACATGAAGGAGGCGGAGCTTATGACCTATTCTGCAGCCTGTCAGCAGGGAGCACTCCGAATGTTTAGGCTTCACTTTCTTTCTGGGAACTGCCATGACGTCCATCTTTTTATACACAGTTGAAGCTCTGTACATGAATCTGTGTGTGAGTGTGTGTGTCAGTATTTTCTTCCTGTGCCATGTCTGAAGCCTTCAGAGCGTCTGAGACGTCCGCTATCCTGGAGCCCAGAAGAGAATCCCTCCTCATCTCGTTTTTGTTTTTACTGTAACACACATTTAGTTTTCTCTCTGCTGTAAGACTGATGAGACTGTGTCGGAGCGTTTAACTGATGACTGAGTAATTTATTCAGAAGTTTATATAAAAACATTTCTTAGTCGTTGACCGATATTTGGTGTAGAGGAGGAGAGTTTGTTTCTGCCTTTGTTTCTAAAGGCTTTCAAGTGTTTGTCACGACTGATACACAAAATGTTTGTATTAGTCAGCTCCGGGTGAATCACCTTCAATTCTCTTTCATAAATTCTCTGAACTTTAAAGCTTATAATTAGAATTTAAACACAGCAAACATGAAGGTATTTAAAGTCAGTTTGCAGCCTCATTGAAGCTATAATACCCTGCAGCCTTTCTCTCGCTCTTCTGTCTCTCTATCTGTCTCTCTCTCTCTCTCTCTCTCTCACTGTCTCTCTCTCTCTCTCTGGTAAATATCTAGCCTGGCTCTCTATAAAGACAACAAACAATCCTCAGTTATTCAAACATGACAGCTTCACTGCAGTAAGTCATTGCACCTGGATAAACAGAAACATCCTTGATAGTTAAATTAACCGTAACTTAGAAAGGCTGCACCCTGCAGAGATGTTACATATATTCACAAAAAATCAACACAGCATGATACGTAATCTGTAAATTTTAACTTATAATCAGAACGAGTGCAATGTCATCTCAGATTTAAAATCTGTGGTGGAATCCATCTTTGATTTTCACTATAAATAATAATAATTTATCTCTTTTTGTTAGAGTGTGAAGCAGCTGTTTTTAAGCTTTATTGGGACCAAAACTGGAGACGAGCTGGTGGTTTGAAATCATGAGTGAAAATAGTAAATGGACTTGAGCTTGTAGAGCGCTTTCTCTAGTCTTCTGACCACTCAAAGTGCTTTAACACCGCAGGTCACGCCGACACGTTCACACCCTGATGGTAGAGGCTGCTGTGGAAAGAGACCATGAGTAATAATTTATCCCAATCATTCACATTCACACACCGCTGATGTAGCAGCAGGATCAATTTGGGGTTAAGTGTCCTGTCCTTCCGGTTAAGAGACGACCGACTCTACCGCTGAGCCACAGCCGCCACAGAGGGATGGTCAGGACTCTTTCTGCCTGACGCTGGTTTTAAAATGAAAATGAGCTTTTTTACAAGAGTTGATGTAAATCTGTGTTTTTGTAACAAAGTTGATGATGTGAAACAATCCTGTTTTTTAAGAGATGAGTGGCGTGTCCAGTCGTCTGATTTTGGAGGAAAGCCCAGCTGAGAGGTGCGTTTGTTTCATCTCCAACACCAAACTGTTTTTTTTTTTGTTTCTCTCTCGCCATTGTTGTCTTGTCTTGATGTCTTTTATTTTTTTCTGAATCTCTTTCTGGGAGTTGTGCTGTGCCTTAGCTGTGCTCCTGTTTTTAGGAAAACCCCCTCTCTGAAAGCATCGTCTCAAACGCCCCAAAAACCAAAAGAAAGAATTGTTGTGAATGCCTTATCGATGACCATAGTGGTTTTGAAGTACATTTTTTGGACAATAAAACAGAATCTCCCTTTAAGTTATGACTGTGCCGTTTTATTTTACTCTCTTATTTTAACCAACAGGTGTTGAATGGTGGAGCGACTAAAATGTAATTATTTAACACTTCCATCCTAACAAATAACTGTAAATCTCTTATTTCCCAATAATAGGCATCAGAATAGAGCAGAGGAAGAAACAGTCTGACACTGTAGCCTTCTTCACACTTGCACAAAACTCCAGAAAAAGTCCTGAAGTTTTTCGGGTTTAGCTGCATGTGTGAACACAAACACACACATTTCCTGACAGCCCTCCTGGTATTTTTCCGCAGAAAGTCAGAATGAGCTGATGTGACAACCCAGAATTCATCTGCCATCAAGTAAATTTTAAAGATTAAAGTCTTTGATGAAATAAAACAAAAAGCCTCTCACAGGAGACTCTTTTTAATTTTCATTAAATTGCTTAAAAAAGAAAAACAGCATCATCAGCTGATACACGTTTTTTTTTTGTTCTCTGTATCTGGTCTGTCCCCCTCCCCCCCTTGTCAGACCCTGAAAGGATCTTAAATCAAACTTTGTTAATGAACTTTCACAAAGGCGTCAGGTTTGCAGTAACGAGCAGCCACAGCCAGCAGCGATGGAATCATCAATACATGAGATCGATGACGAGCAGCTGGAAGGACAGAGCTAATTATTATCTGCAGCCAGAGAACATGTGACTCTGAGCGTCACTTTAAACTCATCCAGGAGATCAGAGAGGACCTGGGGGGAGGGGGGGGATTCACTTTAGAGCAGTGGTGTCCAAACTTTTTTTCTTGCGGGCCAAAATTGTCGTGTTAGAATCGCTCACGGGCCACAGGTTTGTTTTTTAAAATATAGTTGAAAAAATAGTAAGGCTTTGTAGATCAGAATCAAAAGGCTCACTAAAGAAACCCTTTAATAAAAGGAAATCAAATATTTTGATTTCTTCGTTCTACTTTATTTGTTTCTTTCTCAGAATCAAGCCTGTAACGTGGTTCATGTTTTTGGAAAAGCTTTCTGTGTTTAGCTCAGGTCATTAAACGGTTAAACAACAGTCCACTTGTTTGCAAAAACTTTACATAAGTTTTTTTTCATAGTTTACAAAAAAATATGTGGAAAATACTAAAAGCTGTAGATTTAAAAAAAAACAACAACATACATGTTACTGAACATTTTCTATTTTAGGAATATTGTTCAGCGCTTGTTAACATGAAAAAGAAAAATAAGATAATGTGCCAATCTTAATCGAGGCCTCGGGCCAAAATCTTCTGATTCTTCATTTGAAGTCACGGGCCACGGGACACAGGTTTTTATGAATGAAATGTATTCATGAGGGGAGGGGTCTCCAGAACTTACTCGAAAGCGGTACTATACCGTAAAATACTCGTTTGAGGTTTTTCACTACTTTTTATTTGATTACTTAATGACTCAATCAAGAAAGCTTTGGGAACTGAAATGATCTCCAGTTATAAATTCAACAAAATGCTAAATGTTTTTAAATGATTACCGTAAATATTTATAAAAATATCTTATGACTACAGTAGGATTGTTCTTTATGTCAATGCAGGCCATTCAAATTCAGAAAACGCGTATATAAAATAGATATCGGTATTTTTTTTAGGTTTAAATGATATAAAAACAGAAAACAGTTATACGATTAAGTAGTTTAAAAGTACATTTACTTCAGTTTCAACCTGCAGCTTAGTCAGCGCTCTGCTGCCCCCTTGTGTTTATTATCGTAGTTACATCAGACACCTAGGGACATATTACCTGGCAGTGATTTCTGTGTTTTTGCTAAATGGAAAATAGAACATCTAAAGACATACATAGTAAGCAGTGTAAGTCATTATCCTCCTCACATTGTAAACGACGACAGAGAACGTCTTAAAGATCTGACTTTCTGGTGTATAACGCTGTGAATCATGTTTTACTTTGACCGTCAATTCCCGGCTTTAAGGTTGGAAACTCGCCTCATTCTGAACACCACTAAATCCCACTACATGCAGTATTAAAAATCCATCTTTTATTCTTCTATTTTAAGGAACAGGTTTTTAATTTGCAGTGTTTATCAACCTTCCTTAGAGACGGCCATTTCTGCTCGGCATTGCAAGAAAATGCAGAGGTGTAAGCAACAATGTAAATACAGTAAACTGGGAGAGAAAAGTCAAGTGTCTGCGCTGACACAGCTCTGCAGCTCAGACAGGATATGGATATTAAATGTTTAAGGGAGGAGCAGCTCAACAGTCTTATGTGTATCTGCTGTTGAGTTTTATGTATTTTAAAGGAACAGACATGCAAATTAGCTTAGGCTACAAATGCTGTAGTGTATGGCGACGGTTTTCTCGCTCCATACTTTTGAATAAACATGAAATAAATCAGGAGACATGTCTTGTGTTTTTTTTTTCATATATATTTAAGAAAATACTGACAGATGCTCCTAACAGCTATATACATAACGTGGTCATTACGGCAGGAGGTGTCCCGATGAGGAGGATGAGGACGATATAAAACAGGAGAGGCTCCTCTTCTCACTTCTTGGACAGCTTGACTTGTTTATTTTTCGGGGGCGCCCACTTCAAACACATTGTGTCCACTGTGAAGGAGACGAGATGAACCGTCAGTGCAGGAATACATCAAGGATTTCTGAGCAGGACTCCCACTGTGGTTTTAGTTCTGAGACAAGCTTTTTGACGTGCAACACCGAGGAAGAAATACAGACTCTGTGTTCGGCTCGGTTTACTCTAGATCAGCCTTTACCAAACTTAAAACTGCCGCGGCCCACTTTGATATACAAAATTACTCCGGGGCCCGTAATAAAATAAAAGTTTTGACTACAGCTATCACTTTCAGTAAGGGTAAATTATTGGACATGACAACATGATATAATGGCAAGATGGACACCAATGTTTACTGAACATTATGTCCTTGAATAGTCATGACACTCCTTACTAATCACTTAAAGGGTTGAGTCATGGTGAATCATCATTATTGTGATATTTCTTTTATTTTTATACTTGGTTGAGGGCTTTTTGCTGCCCACCTGCAGTACCCACACAGCCCACCAGGGGGCCCACACTTTGGGAAGCACTGCTCTAGATGATTGGAAACGTGGGCGACAGACATGAGGACAGTTTATAATCCTCCAAACGCACAAACTAGACCAGTGGTTCTCAACTGGTGGGTCAGGAAGCTGTACTCACTGGGTCTTGAATAAAAAACTTGTGTCTAATAGTCTGTGAAGCACTTTTTATCATGTCGGTTTTGTTCCTTTTCTTGCTTAAGTCACAGATTTTGTACCGTCTAAGGTCCAAACTGGCACCATTTTTTATTAAATAAATCTGATTGGCTGAAAATAACCAGAAATTTGGGTCCTGATTTCTCCTTAGGGAGTTGGTGGCGGGTCCTGAGACCACTTGAGAACCGCTGAACTAGACGATTCAGCCAGACCTGCGAGACCACACCACCTCCCGTTTGTCGTGATGATTTCACAGACACGAGGTCTCACAGAAACTTGTGTGGTTAAACGCTCTATTGCAGTATGGAGGTGTTAACTAGAAATATTTTACATTGTCAAATAAAAAGAAAATACTCAGTCAGTTTTAGTGTACAATAAAATATTACCAACGATATGAGATATGACAGCTCACCTGTTATCGGGGGTTTCTTGTACTGGGCGCTCTTTAGATGCTCCTCCACCAGTTTGGGAGTGACACAGATAACGTGCTGACCTTTCCAGTACTTCACCATGTTGAGCGACTGCAGCGTGCTGATGATGTCACTCTGTGTGATGCTGGTCATCTGGCTGGAAGGAGACAAGAGGGAAGAGGGGACGATCAACATCACCGCGCTGAGGGACAACAACACTTACTGAATAAGATGGCCGCCTGTCCGTCTGATTGGACTGTAAGTTAGAACGCTATCCGGGTGCCTACCTGAGGTCTTTGATAGACAGCGTTCCTCTGAAGTCCCTCAAGATCTCCAGCAGGACCCAGGACCAGTAACTTCTGTAGCTCAGCTTCCCCAGATCTGACAGAGGCTTCTCCGGAGAGCCGACCGCACTCTCCAACTTGGAGAGCTCATAACCTGCACACAAACAGCAACAACAGAAACATCACCTCTTAAATCACAGGTTTTTAAATGTGTGGACACATTCACTAATAAGAACAGAGTAGTCATTAGCACTAAGACGGCCTCTCACTTACTGAAAGCTATGAGGAACTTTCCGTATCCTCTGCGTTGGTAAGGCGGCAGTGTGAGAATACATGCCACGTTATTCCCATCTGGAGACTCCTTTTCCTGAAAACAAAAAAGACAAACCGTTCTTGTTGATTCCATGTTTAAAATGTTCAGACGGTTGGTTCCTCCCCTTGTGCACAAAGCTGAAGTTCGTTTTGGTTTCGTGCTGGTGCTCAAGGGCGACATCTACTGGATCAAAAAGTAACTCATGCTTCCTTTAACATGTTCCTCAGGTCTGAAGGATGCAGCGTTTTGTTCAGAAACACTAAATCAAGTCCCAGCTGTTTGAAAAGCTCTTTATAAGAGAGCTAACAGCAGTGAGTCAAAGCGTGATTGAAGGTAAACACTTCTTGAAAAGACATGATTCAAGAATCTGAAACCAGCCTTACTTTGGAGAAGTAGCCGACGATGTGAGCTCCCTGTTTGTTGACTTCGGTGAGGATATAGAAGATGAAGGGCTCCACGTCAAAATAAAGCGTCTTGTGGTCCAGAAATAGTTTTGCGAGTAGACAAAGGTTCTGACAGTAGATCTGCAAACAAAGAGTCAGAAACATGTCGATTATTGTCAGAAAAAAAGCTTTTTTCTATTCTTGCTTTTTTTTTTTTTATTACTCAGATTGACGTCTAGTTTTCTTTCCAGCAGATTTCCAGAGAAACATTCTTCATCTTCTACGTGATCTCACCTTGTGGTCCCGCCCGTCTACTTCATACACCGATATGTTACTTCTTCTGTAGATTTCTTTCCCTGGAGGCTGCTTCCACTGACAGTGAGACTGCGGAGACAAAAGGGAAAAAAGGTCAAACTACTGCGTGCATTTAAGACTACAAGGATGCACTCACTCATGGAAAGACTTCTGCAGGTAGTTCAACAATGAATAAAAAAGGAACAAATAGTCAAATGCATTTGAGTCATAAGAGGAAAAAATAAAATTTAAGTATGTCTGCGAGTTTTATATAATGTCTCCATTCTTAGACTCGAACAATGGCAAGATCCTTGACAAGCAGCTTGATATTTTTATGCAATAAGCACAGACTTTTTCAACGAACAACAATCGTGTGAGTTACGACTTCCAGGCATTAACACAATAGGCCAGACGTGTTTATCGCTTGAGTGAAAAAAAGTCCTCTGAAAAGGAAGGCAGGCAAACACAAAAGGCCCTCTGATCCGTTACAAACGTTAAAAGTTATTAATTAATGGCTTTAGGTAAAGTTAAAAATGTGCGGCAGACCGACTTGTTTCAGCTCATCAGCGCCTCCATCAGGGTCTTGATTGAGGACCAACGCAGCGCTCCTAACTATTGATTTTTCCCAACATTCAAGACTTAATTGAAAGCTATACATACCAGATGATGTCTAAAGGTCTTCTCATACTTCATGTATTTAAGGCAGTACTCGCAGATCCACAGCTTGGGCTGCTTCCCATAGTCCTCTGGAAACGGCGAGAAGTACCAGGCATCGATCTCAAAGTTTCCTATCTGGATCTTATCCACATATTTCACTTTAGTAATCTGAGTGTGTGAGAGAGAGAGAGAGAGAGAGAGAGAGAGAGAGAGATGAGCAGGAGAATAAAACAAGATACATAAACCTGCTTAATGTCGGAGTGAAATGATCGCATCAAAAAGAAACTAATGGGCACACAGAGACAACCTTACCGCTTCATGCTCCTTTTCTAGTGCAGCTGTTGTTGGGTCCATCTCTGCATACGTCTGTAAATGAAAACGGTATCAGATAAATATTGAGTACTTGGTTAAATAAAAAAATCAAGATTTAACTGTATAGTAAAAAATGTGTCCCACCTTCTGCACATGGTTGATCTCATCATGCTTGCGCTTCTGGTTGCGAGTGATCTTCCTCTCAGGCTGCTCCCCCAGATCCCCCACACTTCCGATCTCTGTGCTCTTCCTCACTGCATCCTTCACCGTCTTGGTAAGAGCCAGACGGGCTTTACCCACCCACTCATCGAGGCGCCTGTTGACTGCACGCCAAAGAAAGCGAGATGAAGATCATACAGTAGAGCAGTAGGTACAAAGTTATGACAGGTACAAAGGAAAACAGGCAAACTAGTAATGTACTCACATCCTACATAGTGAACATAAAACTCCTCTCTCCCCTCCTGTTCATTCAGTCGAGACTGAATAACCTCTGCTGTATCTGAAAAGAGAGAAAAATACAAGTTATTGACATCTTTGCATGCGAGTCTGACCTCACTGCTTTAAACACCCCCCTTCATTAGTTATTATTTTACTTCAACTTATTTCACTGCTGTATATACATACACCATTGTTATTTATTATTTAATTAGATAGATAGATAGATAGATGGAGAGATACTTTATTGATCCAGAGGGAAATTCAAAGCATCCAGTAGCAGGTTACAAAGACATGACATGAAACATTTGTATTAACCTGAAAAAAAGATTTAAAGAATACCTCTAGATGAATCAAACTTAAACTGTGTAATTAAAAATAGATTTATACAAGAAATGTACATAACCCGTGCAGGGATAAAAATATATGTTACATTTAAACAAGAAGCTAAAAACAGTTGAAGAAAAAAATCTGTAATTAGACCTGAATATAAAAAAAAAAAAAAAGTGTAGACCTTCTTAAGTTGTGTTGTTTATATATGTACAGCAATGTTTTAAAAAAGCAGATAGTGCAGAGTTATCAAAAACAGACATTAAATAACAGGCAGATGCATATACACATATATATATATATATATATATATATATATACACATTTTTGATAATGCATCTGTACAGGCTGCACGGTGGTGTAATGGTTAGGTGGGGAGGTTCCTGTTCTGACAGGATGCGTGTGCATGCTCTGCATCTTCCCGATGGGATGTCTCACCAAACCCCGCTCACATTTTTAACAATTTAACCAACTCCGACATTATCAGCTTAAATACTTACTCTTATTTTGTCTTAGTGATAAAGGTTTGATTTATCATGAGTCATGTTGTAATGCGGCAATCATTAAGTCCACTCAAATTCAACATTTACTTATTTACAACGATTAAATATCAACTTGGATATATGGCTTAGCTGATGTTTGGACTGTTAGTGTTTTTATCATTACGTTATTTTGACAAATATGAGTAATAATAATAGAGTTTGGTCTGTTATTTCCTTCTCTTGGCAGCTAATTTAACTGTAATAATACTGAGTGACCACTTACGCCATGTCTTATCGGCTCGTTGACATAAATACGTCTCTCCGATTTCGACCGACACCTCTTGCTCCCTGCCGCCGCAGAACACCCCTACATCCGGGATGTGCTGACTACTCGAGCCCCCGGCTTCTCTCGCACGGCCGAGGGCCTCCGCCTCGTCCTCTTCCGCGCCGCTGCCGTTAGAAGAACACGCAGCCGGGATACTGCTGTCCAGCTCTCCCCGCTCACTTTCCAGATGACTAGAATCCACGTCTACGTCCATCCTGTGCTCGGAGTCCTCGTTATTGTTGTAGGATTTGTGAAACTCGGTCCCGCCAGTCATAACCCCGGCCGTTTGAAAACAACAACACGCCTCTGCGACCCTGCGCAGAATTATCGAAGGGGCTGGTCTACGAAACAAAAAAACAAAAAACTGCAAAGATGGCGTCGACGGGTTGCATTCACGCGATGTTGGAATAATCGGATGAAATAGTTTCCCACTGGGGATTTATCATTCCATTAAGTAGAAACAACCGTGTCAGATAAAGAAAAGGTTTACCCCTGACCAGCAGATTGACGTAATATTACCAATGATTTTGGAGACGCAAAAAAACACGATCTTGATGATAAATTAACGTTTTTCCACAATTTATTTTTGGATTATTTGCAATTTGTAAATGTTTTAACTGTTACTTTCCGCTTACGTAATGCAGTGTCGCTTAAATATGTTAAAGATTCTAACAAATATTTGAGGTGTTGACTATGACGACTTTAAAGTTCGCTGAGACACCGAAGCCGGAACAACGAGTTTCAATTAAGGGAGCTCCGAGCATCCGAAGAGTACCTGAATGCAGCAGAGGTTCGCATTTCTTCTTCCCAGGATTCGCGCACCTTAGTGTTAAACTACAACTCCCAGAGGTTTAACAACCAAAGAAGAGTCATTGGCTTTACCCACTTCTGTGCATTAGTTGTTTATAAATGTACTTTCAGTTTGAAGGTACTTAAAACAAACAATGAGGTTTGAGACTCTGCAATACTAAGATTAATACTGAGGAGGGTAAATAATGAAACTATCTGATTTTATTTAATAGCAGCAACAGAATACAGGATTTTAAATGTGCAGGCTCCAAGTCTCAAATTTTATAAATTAAATCTCACAATTAACTAGAAACTGTGTCTGATAAATATCGAAAAAAGTACAACATGTTTCTGTCGGTTGTGGTGTCACAGAGGTATAACTGCCCCCCCCCCCCGACCCTTCAGTAAATACAAACACACTTACGACCAGGTAAGATTTAATTTGCAGTTCTTTCAAGTCATATTTCCCCACAACTATAAGCAACATCCATCTGTATTTGAAATGTGAGTGCATGAGAATGCATATCAGAGACCAAGATAACAATGATGCACAGGAGGTGAGGACACTACACTGCTCGTCATTTCTGCTGCAGGGCTTTAATCTATGCAAACTGATGATGGAGGCACGCATACACTTGTTCTTTGGCCCTCCTGTTGCCCTTTGTCATAGCACCTCTTCTCTGCCTCTGTCTCTTTCTCTTTCTACCACCTTGTGATGGAGGCCCCTGCCATAACCCTGACGGGGCCCCCCTCCACCTCCTCTGTACTGATTATTGGCTCCTCCCCTGCTTCTTGAAGGTCGTCCTTCCCAGTGGTAGTGAGAAGCCCCCGGGGCTCCGGTGTGTGGAGCAGGTCGGTAAGGACCCCTTCTTCTTCCAGGATGACCATGACTACCTCCCGAGTCTGCCGCATCTTTTAGGCATTCAGTTTCCAAGGCTGGCTGATCACCTGGAGACACAAGAGTCTCTTTTGGCTCGTAGACCTCCCTGCCAGTCTCAGACTGACAGAACTCTTTCATCTGCTGGCCATTATTTCCCTGAGGTCTGGCTTTGTTTGGTCCTTCAGTGCCGTCTGAGGAGAGAGAGAGTTTGTCCAGGTGTTCTGTGACAGGGGCAGCTCGCCCGTGTTGTCCTCTGGACCTGCCTCCCCTCCTCTGCCCCCTCAGGTGGTTCGGACGCCTCTGTCCTTGCCCCCATCTGCCGCGCGACAGTCCGGGAGGAAACCTGTCCGCTCTGGCACCAGATTCATTCAGGGGAACATTAGAAGCAGAGGGCAAAGGGGCACCGGGAGAACCGTCTTCATCCAGGTTTCCATTTTCAGCAGCAGATGGAGCCTGTGGGAGTAACAGTCATCACTGGAAATGTTTTCCCTACAAGGTTTTTTTTCATTTTGCTGATTTGACAAGTCTAAGAAAAGCTGATTTCCCCTGAGTCATTCTAAACTTGGATTTTCTGGAAAGATATAGTTTAAAGACTGAGGAAATTTCTGTATTTGAAAACTAACAATAACAGGCAGGCTGAAATGTAGCTATAGGACTTCTGATTCATTCTTACCTCATTGATGTGGATGAGGAAACGATTGGACTCCACCTCGGGGTCGATGATCCCTCCCTTAGATCTCTGCCTTTCCAGAATCTTCTGGAGCTCACACCACTTCTGTTGAAAACTTGAACCAATCGTTGCTTCGTCCAGCTGAATGAAAAACACACACAGAGCCAATCAACGTTCTGACTTTTCAAAAACCATATAAACAGAGGGGATTGTTCCAACAGCTAAAACCATTTCACCAGATTCTAATGAAAGTGCCTCATGAAGTCAAAGTGTGCGTCTGACGCTGGGTTTTTACCTCTGGCAGCTGAGGTGCAGGAGAGGCCAGAAGCTGATCCACATCGTACGACAGAGGCTCTCTGCACACGGGACACACCACGGTCAGCTCCTGTGAGAAGAGTCAGGGATTAGAGAGCTCTTAAAGAAACATTTCCCACGAGCAGAAGCGTGAGGCTGATCTCTCACCTGACAGTCTGATCTGTCTCTGGTCTTGTCCTCCTCCAGCTCCTTCTCCCTCTGCTGGAGCTCGCTCTCCGAGTGGCAGACGTAGCGGCCGAGGCAGTGGCAGTGGAAGTAGTGGTAGCAGCTCGTCTTAGTGAATGTTTCTCCCTCCTTAGAAATCATACAATCAGAACAGGTATGATGCCGAGTCTTTCAGGTGTTCAGATACATGTACATATTGGGACGAACTAAAAAGCAACGTACCTTAAAGTCATAAAGACAGATGACACAGTTCCCATAAGGAATATTGCTCTCAGTCAGGATTTCTTTTGCTTTCTGAAGACAAACCAGAGGAAGAGTTATCAGTGTGACAGCTGAGCATACATTCAGTCATCAGATAGTCGTCCTCTCTCTTCATAAATGATTCTACATTTTGTACATGAATCAAAAGAAAAAACATATAGTGACCTCAATGAGCTGATACAACACTGGAGAACCCAGACAGGACTGAGCCTCCAGCTGAAGACACTTCTGGACACTAAGAGAAAACAGTACCACATGATTACAGGAGTTTAAAGTCAATGATAAAAAAGAAGTTAGTGAGTGTATTCAGCTCCAAATGTTACCTGCTGAGTTTGTCATCAGAGAGCCCGCGGGGGTTATGAATGGAGATGGCTGGAGAGGAGGAGGGATACTGGACACACAGAACGGGGAAGAGGAGGTCAAACATCACTGCTGTTCATTGGTTTTTCTAATCTAAGGAGGTTGGAGATGAGTTCAAGTAAAATCCAACGATGCATAGATCCTATAGTGAAGTGTTGCATGTGTCTGAAACTACACTGAGCAGCTGTGAAAGGAGAAAACTTAAAAGTAGGATCGGATTAGTTTTGAGCATAAAAATACAGATAATTAGGGTAACTCTCCTCCTCCTCTCCTCTCCTCTCCTCTCCTCTTCTCTCCTCTTCTCTTCTCTCCCCCTCTCCTCTCCTCTCCTCTTCTCTTCTCTTCTCCCCCCTCTCCTCTCCTCTCCTCTCCTCTCCTCTCTTCTCCCCTCTTCTCTCCTCTCCTCTTCTCCCCCCTCTCCTCTCCTCTCCTCTTCTCTTCTCTTCTCCCCCCTCTCCTCTCCTCTCCTCTCCTCTCCTCTCTTCTCCCCTCTTCTCTTCTCCCCCTCTCCTCTCCTCTCCTCTCCTCTCCCCTCTTCTCCCCCCTCTCCTCTCCTCTCCTCTCTCCTCCCCTCCTCTCCTCTCCTCTCCCGTCTCCTCTCCTCTCCTCTCCTCTCTCCTCCCCCCTCTCCTCCTCTCTCCCCTCTCCTCCCCCTCCTCTCCTCTCCTCTCTCCTCCTCTCCCCTCCTCTCCTCTCTCCTCTTCTCCTCTCTGTAACTGTGGTTTCTTTGTTGACATTAGAACGTCTTATTGAACGAACTTATTGAAGTGTCTGCCTGTACTTCTGTCCTCATCTCCTCTCCTGTCCTCTCCTCTGTCCTCTCCTCTGTCCTCTCCTCTGTCCTCTCCTCCTCTCTTTGCACAGATTATGATGAAGGAGTGGCCTACCTGCTGATCGAGGGTCAAAGTCAGCGTGAGGCGGACAAACTGGGAGACAGAGTCTTGAGCTGTGGAGGGGTACAGGACGAGGCTCACCTCCCAGCTCCTGGAGGGAAACAAAACACCAGCAGCTGTCATCAGATAATCAACATGGCTGAGTCAACACAAACAACAACAGGGTGCACAAAACGTGTAAACAGAGCTTTATGACACACACACACACACACACACATGTCTTTACACAGTTTAAACATTAACACAGTTAAAGGTTTCTTAAAGGCTGAGTGTGGAGGTTTTTTAAAAATGTTTGGGTTGATGTAATATTTCAGAAACAGAAACTCTACACCACTTTTTTAAAAACACACATTTCTCCCCCTCACATCTGTTAAAACCTGCCAAGAGTTTTATAAACAAAGCTGGTTTATAAAAGTGATAAATGTGATTATAACTCACCCGTCCTCTCTCCTGTCGACCACCAGCTCATCCAGGTAGATGGACTGCAGCACCTCGATTTCAGACAGCACACTGCGGGACAGAACAAACACGACAGATGAGTTCAAACAAAACAAAATATGTTTTTTATTTCACCAACACAAGTTAAGCTAACGTTAGCATGCTAGCTCACAGTCAAACACAACAGTGTCGCCAAACAGCGTTAGTTAACTCTGTCACACCTGCTGCGTTACATTTTACTCAAAGTAAGGTGTCTTTAAGAGCCCGTACACCTGACACACTGAGTGTCATGTCACATTTCTGAGACTATCTGTCAGTAAACTCACTCTGACTCCGCTGCCATGATGATGTTTCTGTGAGCAGCTAGCAGCTACCATATAACCAGGAACCTTTCAAAACAAGAGAGCCGCGGTACGACTTTTCGTTCGTTCAATTCAACTAGCTGATAAAAGCACACCGTATGCTTATCTGTAGTTCTTCTTCTGTCAAATCACGATGTTATATGTGTGCTAAAACGCACAGCTACTCTTCTACCCGGTGTGGAGATTTTTATTTTGAAAAGACCACACCGGAAGTGTCAG